CGTGGCCACCAGTGCATTCACACTGTAGGCTGACTCCCCTGTCATTACCTCCCGTGGCCACCAGTGCATTCGTACTGCAGGCTGACTCCACTGTCATTACCTCCCGTGGCCATCAGTGCATTCATACTGCAGGCCGACTCCTCTGTCATTACCTACCGTGGCCACTAGTTGGCCACTAGTGCATACGTACTGCAGGCTGACTCCCCTGTCATTACCTACCGTGGCCACTAGTTGGCCACTAGTGCATACGTACTGCAGGCTGACTCTCCTGTCATTACCTCGCGTGGCCACTAGTCCACTCACAGCGTATGTAGGCTCCACTGTCATTACAAATGCAAAAGTTTCCGCCGGTTCGATTTCGTCTCTGGGGTGCTGCGGTGTGGGACACAGTGGAGCGAGCCTCTTCCACGTCCGCACACCGCCACTGCCCACCGTGGTGTGGATGAACTGTGGGTACGCACACCCCACCTCGCCTGTAGTGAGACGCCGAGACATTCTGTCTTGCCGGAGCTGTCAAGCCATAAACGTTTTACCCCATATTCTTGTACAGGGAAATTGAGTTTTCAGGTCCGTACGGCGTACAGCCGTTTCAATGCGGGCAGGATGAACGTTGAGATTTATGAGGGCACGGGGTGTCCAATAATATCTGAATTGGTCTGTAATAAGTTGGCCACTGATAAGGGGTTGACAGGTATGATAGCCTCAGCACTGCCACCCATAGACTCAGCACTGCTACCCACAGACTTATAGTGCAGTGTATAGTGTATAGACTCAACACTGCCACCCATAGACTCAGCACTGATACCAACAGACTTATAGTGTAGCGTATAGTGTATAGACTCAACACTGCCACCCATAGACTCAGCACTGCGACACATAGACTTATAGTGTAGCGTATAGTGTATAGAATCAACACTGCCACCCATAGACTCAGCACTGCTACCCATATATGTATAGTGTAGCGTATAGTGTATAGACTCAACACTGCCACCCATAGACTCAACACTGCCACCCATAGACCCAGCACTGCTACCCATAGATGTATAGTGTAGCGTATAGTGTATAGACTCAACACTGCCACCCATAGACTCAGCACTGCGACACATAGACTTATAGTGTAGCGTATAGTGTATAGAATCAACACTGCCACCCATAGACTCAGCACTGCTACCCATATATGTATAGTGTAGCGTATAGTGTATAGACTCAACACTGCCACCCATAGACTCAACACTGCCACCCATAGACCCAGCACTGCTACCCATAGAGGTATAGTGTAGCGTATAGTGTATAGAATCAGCACTGCCACCCATAGACTCAACACTGCCACCCATAGACTCAGCACTGCCACCTATATACTTATAGTGTAGCGTATAGTGTATAGAATCAACACTGCCACCCATAGACTCAGCTCTGCGACCCATAGACTTATAGTGTAGCGTATAGTGTACAGACTCAGCACTGCCACCCATAGACTCAACACTGCCACCCATAGACTCAGCACTGCTACCCATAGATGTATAGTGTAGCGTATAGTGTATAGACTCAACACTGCCACCCATAGACTCAACACTGCCACCCATAGACCCAGCACTGCTACCCATAGATGTATAGTGTAGCGTATAGTGTATAGACTCAACACTGCCACCCATAGACTCAACACTGCCACCCATAGACCCAGCACTGCTACCCATAGAGGTATAGTGTAGCGTATAGTGTATAGACTCAGCACTGCCACCCATAGACTCAACACTGCCACCCATAGACTCAGCACTGCGACCTATATACTTATAGTGTAGCGTATAGTGTATAGACTCAGCACTGCCACCCATAGACTCAACACTGCCACCCATAGACTCAGCACTGCCACCCATTGACCATACCTGTCAACCTTTCCGGTTTACCCCGTATACTTTTACAGGGAAACTGAGTTTTCAGTTCCATACGGTGTACGGGCAACAATATGTTTTTGGTATCTATTTGTTGGTGTTTCTCCCTTGTGATGGGACTTTTTACCGTAAACGTTGAGATTTTTAAAGGGCACGAGGTGACCAATAAGGTCTGAATTGGTCTGTAACAAGGTAGGGCACTGATAAGGGGTTGACAGCTGTGCATTGAGCGTAGCGTGGCAGCGATGTTGGGATGCCGTTTCCAACCCACCCCACCCCACCCACCCCACCTCACCCCACCCACCCCACCCCACCACCCTACCCAACCCACCCACCCCACCCACCCCAACCCCACCCACCCGACCCACCCCACCCCACCACCCTACCCAGCCCACCCACCCCAACCCCACCCACCCCACCTCACCCCACCCACCCCACCCCACCACCCTACCCAGCCCACCCACCCCAACCCCACCCACCCCACCTCACCCCACCCACCCCACCCCACCACCCTACCCAACCCACCCACCCCAACCCCACCCACCGCACCCGTCCACCCCACCCACTCCACCCATCCCACCCCACCCACCCCAACCCCACCCACCCCATCCACCCCACCTCACCCCACCACCCTACACACCCCACCCACCCCAACCCCACCCACCGCACCCGTCCACCCCACCCACTCCACCCATCCCACCCCACCCACCTCAACCCCACCCACCCCACCCACCCCACCCACCGCACTCAGCCACCCCACCCACTCCACCCATCCCACCCCAACCCCACCCACCCCATCCACCCCACCCCACCACCCTACACACCCCACCCACCCCAACCCCACCCACCGCACCCGTCCACCCCACCCACTCCACCCATCCCACCCCACCCACCTCAACCCCACCCACCCCACCCACCCCACCCACCGCACTCAGCCACCCCACCCACTCCACCCATCCCACCCCACCCACCCCACCCACCCCACCTCCGTGTCTCATCTGCCGAGGCGGTGAGGGCCGCGCCCCCCCCCCCCACGATGAGTTGACGAAGTCAGACGGCGTTGGTCCTGTGGGAGCCGCTGGTGGGGTGTTCCTAGGGGGTACGGCAGTATGGGGGGAGTTGGGGGGGCATTGGCAAACTTTAATTTCAATATTTGGGGGGGGGCAGGGGGAGGCAGGGGGGAGGGGGCATGGGTTCGCTTTGTCTCTCACATGAGGAATCGCTGGTGCCTAGAGAAAACCACAACAGCAGATAATTGTCTCACCTGATGACGGCCGCTTGTGTTGGGACCGAAACGTCGTGATTTATTTTATTTGCTACCTACGTGGACTTTACCGAAAGAACCAAAGAGCGTGGATTCCTGCAGTCACGAAAGCTTCAAATTAAGATGAATAATCTAAAATTTTGATTTAAAGCTTTCGTGACTGCAGTGATTCATATTCTTGGTTCGTTCGGTAAAGTCACGTGGAAGGGAAATAATAACATAACAAAAATAAAACATAATAAAATAAATATCTTTTATTTATTTTATTATTTCCCTTCTACGTGATTTTACCGAAAGAACCAAGAAGAATAATTAAAAAAATATTCATCACTTCACCCCCCACCCTCCCCTAGGTCACAGCGCCCCCCTTTGTATCCCTGGGGTTACAGGGCCCCCTTGTGGTGCGATTCCGCATCAGCGCAGTGCCACTCCGGCGCAAGGGATTGTTTCAAATTTCAAGTTTCACTTATTAGGTATAGCCCTATTCTTGGTTCTTTCGGTAAAGTCACCACGTAGAAGGGAAACAATAAAATAATAAAAATTATAAAACAATAAAATTCTCACGACGTTTCGACTGCAACACAAGCAATCATCACATCAGGTGTGAAAACCACAGCAAGAAAATTTGAAAAAAGTGGCGGGTTTTTTATCTAAATTAACGTTAGCACCACGGAGAGCGATTTGACAGTTTGTTCAGATAGACGTTTCGACCATAACACAAACGGTCGTCATCAGGTGTGTCGGTTTGCATTAAGTTATTTATTTTTAAACGGTGCATTTATTTATTTATAAAAAAAAACGTCAGCGCCACGCGCAGCGATTTGACAGTTTGTTCAGATGGACGAGTCCATCTATGTTCAGAAAAGAGGAGGAGGGGGGGGAGACGAAAAATAATGGATGTGGTCTGAAAGCCACCGTAAGCGTGAACAATCAGTTAACACCCGAAATGGTTTATAGGTATAGCCCTGTGAGCCATGCGGCTCTTAAGTCGTCGGGTGAAACCGTAACAAACAAAATATGAACACAGAACATCTTAAAGCGACAATGCGCAACAGAAATATCCTGGATTAAACCGGCAAATATTTAAAAAAAAAGTGTTAAAACGCTGTGTGCCAAAAATCACAATGCGGTGCAAGCCGCCGCCAACAACAACAACGACAACAACCGTAAGACAATTTAGATTAACAAGCACATGGCTGAGCATTTAGTCGTCAAACACTCCGCCCTCTCAAAACTTCCCGTGAGTAAATGGAGCGGCCGCTGAGAGAGAGAGAGGGTGTGGATGAGATTCCGTACCTGTGCAGTGTGCTCAAGACACCTGCGGTTTGGCAAACAGAAGTTTTTAGTTTGATATCGTCACAAATGTCTGACCCTTACCCCCCTGGAACGAACCAGCAAAAATTCCACTCCACTGCTGGATGAACGAGGTCCCACGCGTCTGGGTTGTGCCAACCCGTCACGGGTTTGGGGAGGGGGGGGGCAGGCGGGCTTTATGCTGGCTGGATGACTTCCCCGAACCGGTAACCGATATCTCGAAGCGGTTACCGGTTCATTAAATCTTCCTTCCTCACCCCCCCCCCCAAAAAAAGAGAACACACTAATAAGAGATAGACTCCAAAGCAGAAGATGAGTGCTGAACAGAACTGGATTTGCAAATGTGATTCCTGACGTTGGGGGGTGGGGAGGTTGGGGGGGGTGGGGGGGTTGGGGGGGGTGGGGGGGTTGGGGTTTGGTGAGTGCGGAGGTCGGGGGGGTGGGGGGGTTGGGGCGGTGGGGGGGTTGGGGCGGTGGGGAGGTTGGGGGGGGGTGGGGGGTCACGGGGGTGGGTAGTGCCTAGGGGTGGTTGGGGTTTGGGGTCGTGGATCCGGATCCGCACAGGAACCGGATCCTCGCTGGGATGATGGAGGCGAGCGAGCGGAGCCGGCGGCGTGGCGGGGCCGATCCCGGTGGGTAAAGTGCAGCGAGGGGGGGCCCTCAGGGGGGCTCAGGGTGCCAAGGGGGTCCTCCTCAGAGGGGTGTCCCCGTGCCCCCCCCCCCTTCCCGCCTTTCGAGGTGTTTTTGTTGTTGTTGTTGTTGCGAGAACCACGAGTGGCGTCTTGTTGGCATTACCGCAGGGCTTTCCAGGCGCTCGGTAGGCCCGAACAGGACCCCCGTCGCGTCTCAAGGGGTCTCCGAGGGGGCTTGGCTAAGGGGTACCGAGGCGTGTGTGGTGGTGGTGGTGGGGGGGGGGGTCTCTTAAGTGTGGCCCCCCACACACGCACACCCCTACATTGTCCCGTAGTGGGGGGGGGAGGCGTCCCCCTAGGGCCCACGGCGTCTCCGACATTCCGCAGCACGTGGCCGTGCCGAGATGCTGCTGCCGAGCGGGGGTCCGATAGCCGCTGCCACTCCACTGCTGGATGAGCGTTCCACCCCCCTACCTACCCCCCCCCCCCCACCTCCAGGTACGCGTTGCGGTGTTTGTTTGACCATACTTCACCACGGCTGGTGTCGATGGCATCGTCCCCCCCCCCCCCCCAGCCCTCGCGTCTCAAGGGGTCTCCGAGGGGGCTTAGCTAGGGGGTACGAATGGGGGTCTCTTAAGTGTGGCCCCACACACACACACACCTACACTACGTCCCGTGAGGGGGGGTCCCCTGGGGGGGGTCCTCTAGGGGGAGGGGGTCCTCTAGGGGGGGGGCCCTGGGGGGGTTCCCTAGGGGGGGGGGGGTCCCCTAGGGCCCACGTGGCCGTGCCAGAGACGCGGCGGTTCCGCAGCTGTTGCCACTCCACTGCTGGATGGGCGCTCCTCCTACCCCCCTACCCCCCCCCCCCCGGTACGCGTTGCGGTTTTTCGTTTGACCATACTTCACCACGGCTGGTGCCTGTGGTGGCCGGTTGTGTGAAGGCGCAGAAGTGCTTGTAGCGAATGATTGCCGCGCCAATTTGTTCACGGGCGTTATAGGTTGTTGTTGGTGTTATTGTTGTTGGTGTTATTGTTGTTGGTGTTATTGTTGTTGGTGTTATTGTTCGACACGTCGGTCGCAATGAAGTTGGGAGAGAAGGGAAACACGTGAGGATTGGAGGGGGGTGTTTGGTTATTGAGAATCGAGGTTTAAGGAGAGAAGGGAAACACGGGCGGATTGGAGGGGGGTGTTTAGTTATTGAGAATCGAGGTTTAAGGAGAGAAGGGAAACACGTGAGGATTGGAGGGGGGTGTTTAGTTATTGAGAATCGAGGTTTAAGGAGAGAAGGGAAACACGGGCGGATTGGAGGGGGGTGTTTAGTTATTGAGAATCGAGGTTTACCCCCCTCTTCTTTTTTTTCTGGCAACCAAACAGTCGTGTCGTCGAGATGTTAAAACGGCAGACTGAAACGTTTTTACAAGGAATCACGTCTGCGTTAACCACAATGCTTGTGGTCAGAATGCAAACAAAATACACACACTCTTGAGAGATTTCGATTTAAAGCTTTCGTGACTGCAGGGATTCATTTTCTTGGTTCTTTCGGTAAAGTCATCACGTAGAAGGGAAAAAAAATAAATAATAAAAATAGTAAACAATCAAATTCTCACGACGTTTCGATTGCAACACAAGCAATCATCATCAGGTATGAAAACCACAGCAAGAATTTTTTTTTTAAAGTGGCGTTTTTTTTTTAAAGTATTGCTGTGGATTTCACACCTGATGATGATTACTTGTGTTGCAATCGAAACGTCGTGATAATTGTATTGTTGTATTTTTATTATTTCCCATATACGTGACTTTACCGAAAGAACCAAGAATATGACAGTATATGCATTGTGTTAGTCCTCTGGTCTCTAACGCCGTTTGAGACTCGGCTCTAAAGAAAGCTGTCTCTGGTGTGGACCAATCGGTTTCAAGGACAATGCCATTATTTATTATCAGAGTGCGTTTTTTGTTTTGTATTCTGACCACAAGCATTGTGGTTAACGTAGTAACATGATTCCTTGTAAAAAAAGGTTTCAGTTTGGTGTTTTAACATCTCAACACAGCTTGTTGTGTTGCCAAGAAAGAAGTGGAAACCCTCTATTCTCATAGTTTGGTACTGGCAAAGGAGGTACCATGATGTTTAGTTTATGTTTTCGCTATAAAATAGGAGTTGTGTGGTTTTAAGATGAAGAAGAGAGGTTGACTTAAAGCTTTTGTGACTGCAGGAATTCATATTCTTCGGGCCTTTCGATAAAGTCACATAGAACAAAACAATGATACAAAAAGCTCCAGCGTTTCGATCGCAACACAAGCAATCGTCATTTTCCTGAAGAAGAAGGAGAGGTTTTTACCCTTTCTGGGAAATAAGTAATATTTAAAAAAAACTAAAAAAAAACACGCTTTAATTAAATGCACTAGTAATGGAAGAAATCCACGACTTCCAGGAAGTGGCCCCGAAGTTTGACACAACGTGGACCGTGGCCAACTACAGCCAACGTCAGCTTACCGTGGACAATGAGACCCAGGCCGAAACATAAAATATAAAAAAATAATGTTTAAAAATACATGTTTTTTTATATTTTATGATAGACTATCGTATTGTCATCAGGATGACATAAGTATACCGAGTTTGCAGTCGATACCACATTGGGAAGGGGGTTCAAATTGAGTTACAAGATTTGAGGATACAACAACAGACAGCGAAGTTAAATAAAAGCGTGTAATAATAAAACAGTTGTGGATTTAAGATGTTCAAACAACAAATAGAAAACTTTTGCAAGGAATAAAGTTACTGCATTAACCGCACACGGTACTTATGGTGAGCATGCAAACGTACATGTCTCTGATAATAGTCTACGATGCATCATTGTCTTTGAAACGGATTGGCCTACACCAGAGACGGCTGCCTTCTCTACGGCCCAGCCTCACCGCCAGTGTCAGACCAGAGACTAAAGGTGAATAACAAATGTAATATAAATTAAGATTTAAAGCTTTCGTCACTGCAGGGATTCATATTCTTGGTTCTTTCGGTAAAGTCACGTAGAAGGTAAACAATAAAATAATAAAAATATAAATCAATACAATTCTCACGACGTTTCGACTGCAACACAAGCAATCATCATCAGGTGTGAAAACCACAGCAAGAAAATTACCTACCAGCAAGAAAATTGCTGTGGTTTTCACACCTGATGATGATTGCTTGTGTTTCAGTCGAAACGTCGTGAGAATTTTATTGTTTGATATTTGTATTATTTTATTGTTTACCTTCTACGTGACTTTGCCGAAAGAACCAAGAATATGAATGTAATATACTCTTCGTTTTTTTTTCCGGTAAAGTGACATAGGTAAAAAATAAATAAAGTAAAAAATAAATGCAAAACGGCTATTTTATTGATTATTTTTTTACCTACGTGACTTTACCGGAAAAAAACAACAACAACAACACAAAGAGTATGATTCCTTGCAGTCACGAAAGCTTCAAATCTAGAACAAATGTGATGTTTAGGGCTTCAGAAAAGTCAACGAGTCTCCATTAGTTCGCCATCATTGTCAACGCACGCCTGGAATCTTCTCCCGGTGGGCTGCAGAGCCCCCGGAGGCAGGTGATTTCTCTTGGCGTCCTTGTTGCAAATTCTCGCGAGTGTTGAAACATTTCTCTTGAAGCGCCCTGCAAATCTACGCAAGAGGAGGAGGTCGGGCTCAGGTCCTTGTGCGTTGAGTGAATATGTCTGGTTGGGTGTCCTCTCAAGTATTCATTTTACGTGTCCGACCCTGACCCACCCACCCCACCCATCCAGCAGTGGAGAAGCAGAAGAAGAAGCAAGAAGAGGAGGAGGAGGAGGATCTGCTGACGGTCCCCGATGGCTGGAAGGAGCCGGGGTTCACGCGCGAGGACAACCCCAGCGGCCTGCTGGAGGAGAGCTCTTTCGCCACACTCTTCCCCAAGTACCGTGAGGCCTACCTCAAGGAGTGCTGGCCGCTCGTGCAGAACGCCCTCGCCGAGCACGTGAGTGTACTCGCGTGTGTGTGTACTCCTGTGTGTGTGTGTGTCCTGTGTGTGTGTCCTGTGTGTGTGTGTGTCCTGTGTGTGTGTCTGTGTGTGTGTGTACTCCTGTGTGTGTGTGTGTCCTGTGTGTGTACTCCTGTGTGTGTGTACTCCTGTGTGTGTGTCCTGTGTGTGTGTGTCCTGTGTGTGTGTGTGTCCTGTGTGTGTGTGTCCTGCGTGTGTCCTGTGTGTGTGTCCTGTGTGTGTGTGTCCTGTGTGTGTGTGTCCTGTGTGTGTGTGTCCTGTGTGTGTACTCCTGTGTGTGTGTGTGTCCTGTGTGTGTACTCGCGTGTGTGTACTCCTGTGTGTGTGTGTTCTGTGTGTGTACTCCTGTGTGTGTCCTGTGTGTGTGTGTCCTGTGTGTGTACTCCTGTGTGTGTGTGTGTCCTGTGTGTGTGTACTCCTGTGTGTGTGTACTCCTGTGTGTGTCCTGTGTGTACTCCTGTGTGTGTGTGTCCTGTGTGTGTACTCCTGTGTGTGTACTCCTGTGTGTGTGTACTCCTGTGTGTGTGTACTCCTGTGTGTGTGTGTCCTGTGTGTGTGTCCTGTGTGTGTACTCCTGTGTGTGTACTCCTGTGTGTGTGTACTCCTGTGTGTGTGTCCTGTGTGTGTGTCCTGTGTGTGTGTACTCCTGTGTGTGTGTGTCCTGTGTGTGTGTCCTGTGTGTGTGTGTCCTGTGTGTGTGTGTACTCCTGTGTGTGTGTCCTGTGTGTGACTCCTGTGTGTATTCCTGTGTGTGTACTCCTGTGTGTATTCCTGTGTGTGTGTCCTTTGTGTGTGTCCTGTGTGTGTGTATCCTGTGTGTGTGTACTCCTGTGTCTGTGTACTCCTGTGTGTGTGTCCTGTGTGTACTCCTGTGTGTGTGTGTCCTGTGTGTTTACTCCTGTGTGTGTACTCCTGTGTGTGTGTCCTGTGTGTGTGTGTCCTGTGTGTGTGTGTGTCCTGTGTGTGTACTCTTGTGTGTGTACTCCTGTGTGTGTGTGTCCTGTGTGTGTTGTGTCCTGTGTGTGTTTACTCCTGTGTGTGTTTACTCCTGTGTGTGTACTCCTGTGTGTGTGTCCTGTGTGTGTGTGTCCTGTGTGTGTACTCCTGTGTGTGTGTGTCCTGTGTGTGTGTTTACTCCTGTGTGTGTGTGTCCTGTGTGTGTGTACTCCTGTGTGTGTCCTGTGTGTGTGTACTCCTGTGTGTGTGTGTCCTGTGTGTGTACTTCTGGGGGAGCGGTAGTGTAGCGGTTAGCGCTGCGCTGCGCTATGAACCCGGCAACCTGGGTTTGATTCCCGCTCATGGCCAACACCAGTGACGATTATCTGAACCGGTCATGGGCCTCCCCTAGGTCGACTCAGCCTCAAATGAGTACCTGGTGCGGTGTGTAAACATCGCCACTAGGGAGACAAAGGCGGTCGGGCGTGGTGCTGGCCACCCACCCCCTCGTGTACCGTTCCGGCCTTCATAGGTGCTCCCTAACAGCACTTGCCCCTACAAGCTATATGGGGGATCTTTGTGTACTCCTGTGTGTGTGTACTCCTGTGTGTGTATCCTGTGTGTGTACTCCTGTGTATATGTGTGTACTCCTGTGTGTGTGTCCTCTGTGTCCTCCTGTGTGTGTACGTCTGTGTGTGTACTCCTGTGCGTGTCGTCTTGTGCATGTACTCCTGTGTGTGTCCTGTGCGTGTCCCGTGTGTGTCCTCCCGTGCGCGTCCTGTACGTGCGTGCGAACCAGGTTAGACCCGAGTTCGAGTCCCGCTCGCGACCGATCACAGCAGCGAATATTTGAACTGGCCCTGGGCCTCCTCTAGGTCGACCGAGCACCTAAATGAGTACCCGGTACGGTGTGTAGTAAACATCGCCACTGCGGGGAGACAAAGGCGGATGGGCGTGGTGTTGGCCACCCACCCGCTCAAGTGCCGTGACGGCCTTCACAGCTGCTGCTACTCGCTAACAGCACTTGCCCCAACAGGCTATACTTTGGGGGATCTTTGCGTGTACCCGCGCTGTGACGGCCCTTGATAGCGCCAGCTGTGATTGGCTCCAGCGTGTGGCTGGACGCCAGCTGTGATTGGCTCCAGCGTGTGGCTGGACGCCAGCTGTGATTGGCTCCAGCGTGTGGCTGGGCGCCAGCTGTGATTGGCTCCAGCGTGTGGCTGGACGCCAGCTGTGATTGGCTCCAGCGTGTGGCTGGACGCCAGCTGTGATTGGCTCCAGCGTGTGGCTGGGCGCCAGCTGTGATTGGCTCCAGCGTGTGGCTGGACGCCAGCTGTGATTGGCTCCAGCGTGTGGCTGGGCGCCAGCTGTGATTGGCTCCAGCGTGTTGCTGGACGCCAGCTGGCGGCCACGGGTGACTATCAGCGCCTGACTGCGCCCTGTTTGGCCGGCGACAGGGCGTGCAGGCCTCCCTGGACCTCATCGAGGGCAGCATGACCGTCGCGACGACCCGCAAGACCTTCGACCCCTACATCATCATCAAGGCGCGCGACCTCATCAAGCTGCTCGCGCGCAGCGTGGCTTTCGAGCAGGTGAGACCCCGGGATAGCGGTACGGGGAAAACGCGAGTGCGTACGTCATGATGATAATGTCTATCGATGCAGTTGGTCAGTGATTACCCGGCGTGCGATTGTCCGGCGAAACCGGCTACCAAAGGCTGTTAACCAGTCCGGGCGAACGGCACCGTGTAGCGTGATGAGACAAAAAAATAAAATAAGCCAAGCTTGATCTCGGCGTTGAATATTATATACGGTGCATATGTGTAAAGCTCACGCCGATCGGTGGTGAGATATTTCGGAGTTCCAATTCCTTCGAGGCCTCGAACGTGAGAGGAAGAATACTGATTTAAAGGTTTCGTGACTGCAGTAATTCATATTCTTGGTTCTTTCGGTAAAGTCACGTTTGAAGGGAAAAAAATAAAACAATAAAATATATATAAAACGATAAAAATTCTCACGACGTTTCGACTGTAACGCAAACAGCCATCATCAGGTGTGAAAAACCAACGGCAAGAACACATTTGAAACATTTTTTTCTTGCCGTTGGTTTTCACACCTGATGATGACTGTTTGTGCTACAGTCGAAACGTCGTGAGAATTTTATTGTTTTATATATGTTTTATTGTTTCCCTTCAACGTGACTTTACCGAAAGAACCAAGAATATGAATCGGAAGAATACTCTTAAAGTCGAGTCTCTGTGCTTTCCAGGGAGCCAGTGCAGGGAGGAGGAGGAGGAGAGTAGGAGTGATATGGTCACACCATTTAAATCGAGGTTTAAAAAACCCGCGCAGCTGAGTTTTTCCCACATATCGTAGTCTACCTAAAACACTCTGAGAAACGCCAGCAGTCGTAATAGCGCGGCGATGACAAACGAGCACCTGGTGCGGTGTGTGTGTGTGTGTGTGTCAACATCGCCACTGGGGGGAGACAAAGGCGGTCGGGCGTGCTCCTAGGCCACCCCCACCTCCCGTCGCGAGTCGTGTCCGCCTTCAAGGTTGCCGCTCGCTTAACGGCACTGGCCCCAACAATCTACTGAGCCTACCACTGTGGGGCGGGTGTCTTTGTATGTTGCGTGCACGCACCATGTCAGGCCGCGCGCATTCTGCAGGACGACATCGCCTGTGACATCGTCAAGATCGGCTCGCTGGTGCGCAACCGCGACCGCTTCGTCAAGCGGCGCCAGCGTCTCATCGGCCCCAACGGCTCCACGCTCAAGGTGGGCCTCCCCCCCCCCCCCCCGCCCCCCCCCCCCGGCACCCCCCGCCCCCCCCCCCCCCCCCCCTCCCTCCAGCACCCTCAGCCCCCGCCCTCCCTGCCCGACCGATCTCGAGCGCTTCGAATCCGGCGCTCCCGAGCTGGATTCCCGCTCGCGGCCAACGTGGCCCACCGGCGACGGTTATCTGAACCAGTCGCCTGGGCCTTCGACTGGGGCCTCGAATGAGTACCTGGTGCGGTGTTTAAACGTCGCCACTGGGGAACCAAAGGGCATGATGCTGGCCACTCACTCGCCCAGCCCCCCCCCCCCCCGCCCGCCTCGTGTATCATGCCGGCTGCTCGCGAACGGCACTTGCCCCAACAGTATGCTAAGGCTATGTGGGGGATCTTTGTCTTTGCGTGGCTGGCAGGCCCTGGAGCTGCTCACCAGTTGCTATATCATGGTGCAGGGCAACACCGTCTCTGCTCTCGGCTCCTACCGGGGACTCAAGGAGGTGAGTGTAGCGGAGTGTATAGTAGTCTATTGTATAGTCGTGTAGTGTGTAGTGTAGTGTATAGTAGTCTAGTGTATAGTGTAGTGTATAGTAGTCTAGTGTGTTGTGTATAGCTTAGTGTATAGTTGTCTAGTGTATAGTGTAGTGTTTTGTAGTCTAGTGTACAGTGTAGTGTATAGTGTAGTGTATAGTAGTCTATTGTAGTGTATAGCGTAGTGTATAGCGTTGTGTATAGTAGAATGTATAGTAGAATGTATAGTAGTCTAGTTAGTGTATAGTGTAGTGTATAGTAGTCTAGTGTAGTGTATAGTGTAGTGTATAGTGTAGTGTATAGTGTAGTGTATTGTAGTCTAGTGTACAGTGTAGTGTATAGCGTTGTGTATAGTAGTCTAGTGTATAGTGTAGTGTATAGTCGTGTAGTGTATAGTGTAGTGTATAGTATAATGTATAGTGTAGTGTATAGTCGTGTAGTGTGTAGTAGTCTAGTGTATAGTGTGTAGTGTATAGTAGTGTAGTGTATAGTAGTCTAGTGTGTAGTGTATAGTAGTGTATAGTAGTGTAGTGTATAGTAGTCTAGTGTATAGTGTGTAGTGTATAGTGTAGTATATAGTGTAGTGTATAGTGTAGTGTATAGCATAGTGTAAAGTAGTCTAGTGCATAGTGTAGTGTATAGTCGTGTAGTGTATAGTGTAGTATATAGTGTAGTCTATAGTGTAGTCTATAGTGTAGTCTATAGTGTAGTCTATAGTGTAGTATACTAGTACAGCACCACACAGGTTGTGTGTTGGAGAGTCAACCCACTGCAACATTGACAATTCGAGCGCCGTGCGACCTTTCACCAGGTAATCACAACGACCGGCCCCCCTGTCTCTGTGTCTCACTCCTGTCGCGCAAATGCGGAGTTTGTCGCGGAGCGTGGTGAGCCGAGCGACGGGGAACTCACCCGTTGCCGGGGCGGGGGTGTGGCGCTCTTTAAACTCCGCAGGTGCGCAAGGTGGTGACGGAGACCATGAAGAACGTTCATCCCATCTACAGCATAAAGGTAGCCCTCGGCACCCATCCCATCGGCGGGGTGGGGGGGGGGGCTTCGGGGCAGCAGCATCGCTCCACCCCCCGCGTGTCGACGGCTCCGTTTGTGGCTACCGCGTGTGTGACCACGCGTGCCACTCTGTGTGTGTGTGTGACCGCGTGTGTGACCACGCGTGCCACTCTGTGTGTGTGTGTGACCGCGTGTGTGTGTGTGTGTGTGACCGCGTGTGTGACCACGCGTGCCACTCTGTGTGTGTGTGTGACCGCGTGTGTGTGTGTGTGTGTGATCGCGTGTGTGACCACGCGTGCCACTCTGTGTGTGTGTGTGACCGCGTGTGTGTGTGTGACCGCGTGTGTGTGTGTGTGACCGCGTGTGTGTGTGTGTGACCGCGTGTGTGACCGGCAAAACAACCCCCTACCTCCTCGCGGTGCCGGACGGGCAACTCTGTCGTGGACAGCGCTGTGGGGGGAGATCCAATTTTGATTGGCTCCTCCCCTCATGGCATATGTGTCCACCACAGGGGCTAAACGGGGGCTCTGGACGGGTGCGAGGGGCTGGTAACCCCTCCACCTTCAATTAATTACCACGAAACTACGAATTAAACTGAAATATGTAACAACTAAGCTTGTGCCGGAGGCCCCGGGGGGCCAGGCGTCTATGACGTCTCCTGGCCAAACCCCAATTGGCGGAGCCAGGAGATTGAATACCTACCCTCGGGGCTACTCCAGAAACAACGAAAAGCCACTACGGTTGGCCACGTGGAATGTTCGAATGCACACTGCAGAGGAGAGGCTGCCACTCCTCTGTCGGGAGCTGGACCGGTACCGCCTGGATCTATGCGGCATTCAGGAGGTCCGGTGGACCGGCTCTGGCTCCTGCCACCATGAGGGGTGGACAGTCCTCTACTCGGGGCAGCAGACTGCCAAACAACAGGGTGTGGGTATTCTTTTGAACAAAAGAATGAAGGGGGCGTGGGAGCGTGGCGGTGAGGTGTGGGAAGCTGTAAGCCCCAGGCTACTTTGGGCTCGCCTTCCCATCAACCGGAGGCGAGGAATGGTGGTCGTGGTTACTTATGCCCCCACCGAAGATGAACATCCGTGGAGGGATGCAGGCAAAGCCGATGAGTCAGATGCCTTCTATGACCTCCTGTCACAGGTGCTGGCTAAAGTGGCCCCTCGGGATAGAGTCATCATGTTGGGTGACTTCAATGCCCGAGTTGGTCATGATACTGGCACCTGGTCTGGAGTGATTGGAGGGCATGGGCCAGATCAGCTCAATAACAACGGTAGGAGGCTGCTAGATTTTTGTGCAGCCCATGGGCTTGTAATTACCAACACGCTGTTCCGGCATCGGCGCATCCACACAACATCATGGATGCACGCCGGGTCCAAGCAAGAACATCTGCTAGACTACATAGTGACGGACCAGCGAATGCGGGCCCATGTCCTTGACACCAGGACCTACCGTGGAGCTGATCTGCCCTCTGACCATCGACTAGTCATCTGTAAGATGCGCCTGCCATTCTTCCACTCCGGTGGTGGGTGTACACCCAGGACCCCATTCCAACCTAAAGTGGCCTGGTCTCAGTTATCTGATGAAAGTTGCAAGCGAGAATTTCATCATCGCTTGCGGCTGGGATTGGCATCGTCCCCGACTCCTCCTGATGTCGAGGGTAAATGGGCGAGGTTTAGGACTGTGACTCATGCAGCTGCAATGGCTGCTTTGGGTACGCGGTCCAGACCTCCCCAGACACCCTGGATGACAGAGGAGTTGTTCACGATGGTTGAGAAAAAGCGACAGGCCCACTGTCATCGGCTACAGAATCCCACGTCAGAGAATGAGGAGGCTTACCGCAGCCTTCGCTCGGAGGTTCGGAGAGCCGTGAGGCGCTGCAAGGATGGGTGGTGGTCGCGGGTTGCTGAGGAGATGGAGTCTGCCTCAGTGGCCCGTGATCACAAATCTCTATTTAACTCCATCAAAAAAGTAACCTGCAGCGCCACACCTATTACCATCATTAGGGGAAAAAACGGTGATCCAATTTCCGACCCCCAGGAACAGGTTCGCAGATTTGCTGAGCATTTCGGTGAGGTCCTGGGGGAGGGAAAATCCCTCAGCCAGGAAAACATCGTGGCACAAAGTGAGGATGACCCTGCTGAGGCTGCGGTGCCTCAAATATTGGATGAAGTCACCCCCTGTGAGTGGCTGGCTGAGGTGCCATCTGCTGAGGAAGTATTGAAGGCGATCCGGAGTCTGAGACCAGGAAAGGCAGCGGGCAGAGATGATCTCCCAAGCGAAATGCTGAGGGAGGGTGGCGTTTGTGCACAGACTGCCCTATATGACATCATAACAACAGTCTGGACCACTGGACGGGTTCCGCAGGATTGGAAGGATGCCCTGGTGGTCCCCCTTTTTAAGAAGGGGGACCGCACAGACTGTAACAACTACAGGGGCATCTCACTCCTCAGTGTGCCGGGAAAGGTCCTGGCAAGGATTATTCAGCATCGCCTTGCCAGGCACGCTGAGGAGAGGCTTGCGGAGCCCCAATGCGGTTTCAGGAAAGGGCGGTCCTGCACAGATGCCATATTTTCTGTCCGTCTGCTACAGCAGAGGTGTAGGGAATTCCAACAAGACCTACATCTCTGCTTTATTGACCTGGTCAAGGCCTATGATACCATCAGTAGGCCTGGGCTCTGGGTCGTTCTTCGTGCTTTTGGAGTACCTGACCCTCTGCTCACGATCATTAAGGACCTTCATGATGGTGAGCGGGCCCGGGTAAAACTACGTGGCCGGGAGTCAGAGCCATTCCCTGTACACCTTGGGGTGCGACAGGGATGTCCTCTGGCTCCCACATTATTTAACATCTATTTTGACCACGTAGTTCGTGAAGCCTTCAATAGCTGTACCGGGGGAATCGCCATATGGTACAGATATAATGGGAGGCTAATCGATGCCCGGGTGCGGTCAAGGGATGGCTCCCTATTGCTCAACCACGTTATGTATGCTGATGACTTGGTAATAGCTGCTCAGTCAGAGGAGGAGTTGGAGACGCTGCTGCTGAGACTGGAGCGTGCCACTAAGAGGTGGGGCCTTACCATCAGCCCCACCAAAACTAAGCACCTGCCTGGGTATTTTGTACCATCGGACACTCCACCCCCACAACTCCCAATCGGTGATGGGGCAGTTGTGGAGAGAGTGGAGAGTTTCCCATACCTGGGCAGTGTGCTTATGACTGGCTCCAGTTTAACAGCAGAGGTCTCACTCCGAATCAGTCGAGCGGCAATATCTTTTCATCGGTTGCGTAACGCTGTGTGGAAGCTACCTGGTCTGTCGCTCCGCACTAAGCTTCAGGTCTTCTCGGCCACGGTCATTCCCTCCCTTCTCTACGCTTGCGAAACGTGGACCCCCCTAATGGAACATCTTCGCCGGTTAGAAACATTTAGGCTGGCCTGCCTACGATCCATCCTGGGTTTAACCAGACTGGATTGTGTGAGGAGCTCACAAATCCTTGAAAGATCTGGGCAGGGTCCCATCGGTGAGCTCCTCCGGCAGGCAAGGCTGCGATGGCTGGGTCATGTAGCCCGCATGCCCAGCCACCGCATGCCGAAACAGCTTTTGTTTGGCCGGATTGAGGGGGCTAAGCGGGCGCGGCACGGGCTAGAGAAGAGATGGAGTGATGTGGTACAGGAGGACGTGGAGCTGAGTGGACTTGCCGATGACTGGTACCAGCAGTGTCAAGATCGGCCTCTGTGGAGGAGGCTCGTGAAGGATGCTACTGGGCAGTTGGAGGCAGTCGCCCTCCAACAAGAACGGAGGGCGGAGGAGCGACGCTCACAACAGCGAGCGGAGCGCCGGGTGGCTAAAGCACAGCAGGTTGGCACAGTAGGGGGCACAGGTGGTGCATCAGCCAGTCATCTCAGTCAGTCGACCCGTGGCACCTGGGTCTGCCCCGTGACCTCCTGCCAGCGGGCGTTCGACACTTCACGTGGCCTCAGGGTGCACATAGCCTGGCACAAGCGTCGTGGTGACGTCACCGCCACTTAGTGGCGAATGGCGGTTGTTGTTGTTGTTGTTGTTGTGACCGCGTGTGTGTGTGTGTGACCGCGTGTGTGACTGCGAGTGACCCCCTGTGCCATTCCGTGTGTTACACCCCTTGCGTGCCTCTCTGTGTGTGACTGCGGGTGACCCCGCTTGCCACTCCCATGCGCCGCTCCTCGCGTGGCTGTGCGTGCGTGGCTGTGCGTGCGTGGCTGTGCGTGCGTGGCTGTGCGTGCGTGGCTGTGCGTGGCTGCCCGCGACTCTTGCCCCCCCCCCCCCCGTGACGCTTGCCCCCCCCCCCCCCCCCGTGACGCTTGCCCCCCCCCCCACCTCCCCGCCCACCCGGCAGACGTTGATGATTAAGCGAGAGTTGGCCAAGGACCCGGAGCTGCGCAGCCAGAGCTGGGAGCGCTTCCTGCCCAAGTTCAAGCACAAGAACCTGTCCAAGCGCCGGACGCCACACAAGCTTCGGGACAAAAAGGAGTACACGCCCTTCCCTCCCGCACAGATCGAGAGCAAGGTGGCCCCCCCCCCCCCCGGCCGGTGGCCCCCCACACCCACCCCCACCCCCCGTGTCGCTCGTGCGTGGTCGCGTCGTGCCCCTTCTGTCACGTGTGTTGTGTGGTGTGTCACGTGTGTTGTGTGTTGTGTGGTGTCACGTGTGTTGTGTGGTGTGTGGTGTCACGAGTGTTGTGTGGTGTGTCACGTGTGTTGTGTGTTGTGTGGTGTCACGTGTGTTGTGTGGTGTGTGGTGTCACGTGTGTTGTGTGGTGTGTCACGTGTGTTGTGTGGTGTGTCACGTGTGTTGTGTGTCACGTGTGCTGTGTGGTGTCTCACGTGTGTTGTGTGGTGTCACGTGTGTTGTGTGGCGTGTCACGTGTGTTGTGTGTGTCACGTGTGTTGTGTGGTGTGTCACGTGTGTTGTGTGGTGTGTCGCGTGTGTTTTGTGGTGTCACGTGTGTTGTGTGGTGTCACGTGTGTTGTGTGGTGTGTGGTGTCACGTGTGTTGTGTGGCGTGTCACGTGTGTTGTGTGGTGTGGTGTGTCACGTGTGTTGTGTGGTGTGGCGTGTCACGTGTGTTGTGTGGTGTGTGTGTCACGTGTGTTGTGTGGCGTGTCACGTGTGTTGTGTGTGTCACGTGTGTTGTGTGTGTCACGTGTGTTGTGTGTTGTGTGTGTCACGTGTGTTGTGTGGTGTGGCGTGTCACGTGTGTTGTGTGTGTCACGTGTGTTGTGTGTTGTGTGTGTCACGTGTGTTGTGTGTTGTGTGTGTCACGTGTGTTGTGTGTGTCACGTGTGTTGTGTGGTGTGGCGTGTCTTGTGTGTTTGTGTGTTGTGTGTGTTGTGTGTGTCACGTGTGTTGTGTGTTGTGTGTGTCACGTGTGTTGTGTGTCACGTGTGTTGTGTGTGTCACGTGTGTTGTGTGTGTCACGTGTGTTGTGTGACGTGTGTCACGTGTGTCGTGTGTGTCACGTGTCTTGTGTGTGTCACGTGTGTTGTGTGTGTCACGTGTATCGTGTGTGTCACGTGTCTTGTGTGTGTCGTGTGTGTCACGTGTGTTGTGTGGTGTGGCGTGTCACGTGTGTTGTGTGTGTTGTGTGTGTCTCGTGTGTTGTGTGTCACGTGTATTGTGTGTGTCACGTGTGTTGTGTGTGTCACGTGTGTTGTGTGTCACGTGTGTCACGTGTGTTGTGTGTGTCTCGTGTGTTGTGTGTGTCACGTGTGTTGTGTGTGTCACGTGTGTTGTGTGGTGTGGCGTGTCACGTGTGTTGTGTGTGTCACGTGTGTTGTGTGTGTCACGTGTGTTGTGTGTGTCACGTGTGTTGTGTGTGTCACGTGTGTTGTGTGGCGTGTCATGTGTGTTATGTGTGTCACGTGTGTTGTGTGTGTCACGTGTGTTGTGTGGTGTGGCGTGTCACGTGTGTTGTCACGTGTGTTGTGTGTGTCACGTGTGTTGTGTGTGTCACGTGTGTTGTGTGGTGTGTCACGTGTGTTGTGTGTCTCGTGTGTCACGCTTTGTGTTTCTGTGTCGCGCGTCGTGCGACGTTTTCACGCCTTTGGTACCCCCAGGTAGGGTACCCTGTGTTGTGTGTGTCACGTGTGTTGTGTGTGTCACGTGTGTCGCTTGTCACGTGTGTTGTGTGCGTCGCGTGTATTGTGTCACGCGTCACGTGTATTGTGTTGCGTGTCACGTGTATTGTGTGTGTCGCGTGTCACGTGTGTTGTGTGTCACGTGTGTTGTTTGCGTCGCGTGTGTTGTGTGTGTCGCGTATCACGTGTGTTGTGTGTGTCGCGTGTCACGTGTGTTGTGTGTGTCGCGTGTCACGTGTACTGTGTGCGTCACGTGTCACGTGTGTTGTGGGCGTCGCGTGTCACGTGTGTTGTGTGTGTCACGTGTGTTGTGTGCGTCGCGTGTCACGTGTGTTGTGTGTCACGTGTGTTGTGTGCGTCACGTCTCACGTGTGTTGTGCACTGTTTCGAGCTCGTGGTGTCCCATGTGGGACCGTGCGCTCTGTGTGGGCGCCACGGTGGCTAGGAGATGTTAACTCCTTCGCCTGGTATTCAGGGAGGTCGTGACTTCAATCTCGACCCTCGTGCTGCTGCTGCTGTACATCTCCTGTCTCTCCCCCCGTGGTCGTGCGGATTTCTGTCCGGGCCCTCCGGTTTTTCCCTCCGCATTTAGAATCAAGAGTATTTGGCCGCCGTAAACATCCACGCGGCGACAAGCCCCCCCCCCCCCCCCGTCGTTGGGCTATCACTTACCTAGCAGTGTGTCACGTGCTGCGCGCATGTCCGCTGCCCGTGTCGCCCAGGTTGACCGTGAGCTGGCGAGTGGAGAGTACTTCCTTCAGGACGCCCAGCGACACAGGAAGAAGCTGGAGGAGCGAAAGGTAGGCACGTGGCCCCCTGACCCCGCAGCAGACGCAGCCAAACGTAGCGCTTCGCCACGCCGGTCGGTGGCAGCTGTCGCTGCTGCTGCTGCTGATGCTGCTGTCGTTGTTGTTGTTCAACAGTAATAGCACGGTTGGCTGCTACGTACGGTGCGAAAGACGTGTTCACCGTACATACGCGCGGTCTTGTCCCCCCTCCGCAACGCCGGGTGTTGGTTATAACGCGGCGAATGTATTATGGAACGCTTTTTTGGGGTTACCTTCGCAACGCGGTTCGCCAACTGGTTAACGCGTCGCTCAGCGAGCTGGGGACAAGCGGTCGTAACGGCCGGCCTCGTCACCTCGAGGCGTTGGGGATGCTGCCTCCCCTCCCCTCCCCCCCCGGACGCTTCCACCACGCGCCATACTCCCGTCTTTGTTCGGGCCTGCGTAGCGCATCTCGCGAGTTACCTCGGCCCGCGCCCTGTACACCCACCCCCAACAACTCCCACCGCGTCACGGGACAACCGACTGTCCCGTTGACGTCGCTACTGTTGCTGCCATTGTGCGTGCGAACGTGCCCCGCGCGCCTGCTCACGCGCCCGTCTCCCCCCCCCCCACCACCCCCCCCGCCACCGCGCGTGACCCCCGCTCAGCTGCGGGAGCAAGAGGGGGAGGAGCGGCGTCAGCGGGAGCGGAACAAAGCGTTCATCCCCCCCGTGGAGAAGCCGCTGAAGAAGCCTGCGCCTGGTACGGAGTGGGCAAGGCGGGGCGGGATGGGTGGGGGAGCCCCATGTCTCTTCCTGCGTCTCTCACGAACCCTCTGTCTCTCTCTCTCGCTCACACTAACTCCGTGTGTCTCTCTCACTAACTCAGTGTGTCTCTCACTAACTCTGTGTGTCTCTCACTAACTCCGTGTGTCTCTCACTAACTCTGTGTGTCTCTCCCTCTCACTAACCCTGTGTGTCTCTCTGTGTGTCTCTCCCTCTCACTAACTCCGTGTGTCTCTCACTAACTTTGTGTCTCTCTCACTAACTCTGTGTCTCTCACGAACCCTCTGTCTCTCTCTCTCGCTCACACACTCTGTGTCTCTCACTAACTCTGTGTGTCTCTCTCTCTCGCTCACACTAACTCTGTGTGTCTCTCACTAACTCCGTGTGTCTCTCTCACTAACTCCGTGTGTCTCTCTCACTAACTCTGTGTCTCTCTCACTAACTCTGTGTGTGTCTCACTAACTCTGTGTGTGTCTCACTAACTCTGTGTCTCTCTCACTAACTCTGTGTGTCTCTCACTAACTCCGTGTGTCTCTCACTAACTCTGTGTGTCTCTCACTAACTCTGTGTGTCTCTCTCACTAACTCTGTGTCTCTCACGAACCCTCTGTCTCTCTCTCTCGCTCACTAACTCCATGTGTCTCTCACTAACTCTGTGTGTCTCTCACTAACTCTGTGTGTCTCTCACTAACTCTGTGTCTCTCACGAACCCTCTGTCTCTCTCTCTCGCTCACTAACTCCGTGTGTCTCTCTGTGTGTCTCTCCCTCTCACTAACCCTGTGTGTCTCCGTGTCTCTCCCTGTGTCCCCGTGTCTCTCACTAACCCTGTATCCCCCTGTCTCTCTCACTAACTCTGTGTCTCACACTAACTCTCTCTCACTAACTCTGTGTCTCTCACTAACTCTGTGTCTCTCACTAACTCTGTGTCTCTCACGAACCCTCTGTCTCTCTCTCTCGCTCACTAACTCCGTGTGTCTCTCTGTGTGTCTCTCTGTGTGTCTCTCCCTCACTAACTCTGTGTGTCTCTCACTAACCCTGTGTGTCTCTCACTAACTCTGTGTGTCTCTTTCACTACCTCTGTGTGTCTCTCTCACTAACTCTGTGTGTCTCTCACTCACTCTGTGTGTCTCTCTGTGTGTCTCTCCCTCTCACTAACCCTGTGTGTCTCCGTGTCTCTCCCTGTGTCCCCGTGTCTCTCACTAACCCTGTATCCCCCTGTCTCTCTCACTAACTCTGTGTCTCACACTAACTCTCTCTCACTAACTCTGTGTCTCTCACTAACTCTGTGTCTCTCACTAACTCTGTGTCTCTCACGAACCCTCTGTCTCTCTCTCTCGCTCACTAACTCCGTGTGTCTCTCTGTGTGTCTCTCTGTGTGTCTCTCCCTCACTAACTCTGTGTGTCTCTCACTAACCCTGTGTGTCTCTCACTAACTCTGTGTGTCTCTTTCACTACCTCTGTGTGTCTCTCTCACTAACTCTGTGTGTCTCTCACTCACTCTGTGTGTCTCTCTGTGTGTCTCTCCCTCTCACTAACCCTGTGTGTCTCCGTGTCTCTCCCTGTGTCCCCGTGTCTCTCACTAACCCTGTGTCTCCTGTACCCCCCTGTCTCTCTCACTAACTCTGTGTCTCTCACTAACTCTCTGTCTCTCTCTCGCTCACTAACTCTTTGTGTCTCTCTCACTAACTCTGTGTGTCTCTCTCACTAACTCTGTGTGTCTTTCTCACTAACTCTGTGTCTCTCACTAACCCTGTGTCTCTCTCACTAACTCTGTGTGTCTCTCTCACTAACTCTGTGTGTCTCTCTCACTTACTCTGTGTGTCTCTCTCACTAACTCTGTGTGTCTCTCTCACTAACTCTGTCTCTCACTAACCCTGTGTCTCTCACTAACTCTGCGTGTCTCTCACTAACTCTGTGTGTCTCTCTCAATAACTCTGTGTGTCTCTCTCACTAACTCTGTGTGTCTCTTACTAACTCTGTGTGTCTCACTAACTCTGTGTGTCTCTCACTAACTCTGTGTGTTTCTCTCACTAACTCTGTGTCTCTCTCACTAACTCTGTGTGTCTCTCTCACTGTGTCTCTCACTAACTTTGTGTGTCTCTCTCACTGTGTCTCTCACTAACTCAGTGTGTGTCTCACTAACTCTGTGTGTCTCTCTCACTAACTCTGTGTGTCTCTCTCACTAACTCTGTGTGTCTCTCACTAACTCTTTGTGTCTCTCACTAACTCTGTGTATCTCTCACTAACTCTGTGTGTCTCTCTCACTAACTCTGTGTGTCTCTCTCACTAACTCTGTGTGTCTCTCACTAACTCTGTGTGTCTCTCTCACTAACTCTGTGTGTCTCTCACTAACTCTGTGTGTCTCTCTCACTGTGTCTCTCACTAACTCTGTGTGTCTCTCTCACTGTGTCTCTCACTAACTCTGTGTGTCTCTCTTACTGTGTCTCTCACTAACTCTGTGTGTCTCTCACTAACTCTGTCTGTCTCACTAACTCTGTGTGTCTCTCACTAACTCTGTGTGTCTCTCTCACTAACTCTGTGTGTCTGTCACTAACTCTGTGTGTCTCTCACTAACTCTGTGTCTCTCACTAACTCTGTGTGTCTCTCACTAACTCTGTGTCTCTCTCACTAACTCTGTGTGTCTCTCTCACTAACTCTGTGTGTCTCTCTCACTAACTCTGTGTCTCTCACTAACTCTCTGTCTCTCTCTCGCTCACTAACTCTTTGTGTCTCTCTCACTAACTCTGTGTGTCTCTCTCACTAACTCTGTGTGTCTTTCTCACTAACTCTGTGTCTCTCACTAACCCTGTGTCTCTCTCACTAACTCTGTGTGTCTCTCTCACTAACTCTGTGTGTCTCTCTCACTTACTCTGTGTGTCTCTCTCACTAACTCTGTGTGTCTCTCTCACTAACTCTGTCTCTCACTAACCCTGTGTCTCTCACTAACTCTGCGTGTCTCTCACTAACTCTGTGTGTCTCTCTCAATAACTCTGTGTGTCTCTCTCACTAACTCTGTGTGTCTCTTACTAACTCTGTGTGTCTCACTAACTCTGTGTGTCTCTCACTAACTCTGTGTGTTTCTCTCACTAACTCTGTGTCTCTCTCACTAACTCTGTGTGTCTCTCTCACTGTGTCTCTCACTAACTTTGTGTGTCTCTCTCACTGTGTCTCTCACTAACTCAGTGTGTGTCTCACTAACTCTGTGTGTCTCTCTCACTAACTCTGTGTGTCTCTCTCACTAACTCTGTGTGTCTCTCACTAACTCTTTGTGTCTCTCACTAACTCTGTGTATCTCTCACTAACTCTGTGTGTCTCTCTCACTAACTCTGTGTGTCTCTCTCACTAACTCTGTGTGTCTCTCACTAACTCTGTGTGTCTCTCTCACTAACTCTGTGTGTCTCTCACTAACTCTGTGTGTCTCTCTCACTGTGTCTCTCACTAACTCTGTGTGTCTCTCTCACTGTGTCTCTCACTAACTCTGTGTGTCTCTCTTACTGTGTCTCTCACTAACTCTGTGTGTCTCTCACTAACTCTGTCTGTCTCACTAACTCTGTGTGTCTCTCACTAACTCTGTGTGTCTCTCTCACTAACTCTGTGTGTCTGTCACTAACTCTGTGTGTCTCTCACTAACTCTGTGTCTCTCACTAACTCTGTGTGTCTCTCACTAACTCTGTGTCTCTCTCACTAACTCTGTGTGTCTCTCTCACTAACTCTGTGTGTCTCTCTCACTAACTCTGTGTCTCTCACTAACCCTGTGTCTCTCACTAACTCTGCGTGTCTCTCACTAACTCTGTGTGTCTCTCTCACTAACTCTGTGTGTCTGTCACTAACTCTGTGTGTCTGTCACTAACTCTGTGTGTCTCTTACTAACTCTGTGTGTCTCACTAACTCTGTGTGTCTCTCACTAACTCTGTGTGTCTCTCTCACTAACTCTGTGTCTCTCTCACTAACTCTGTGTGTCTCTCTCACTAACTCTGTGTGTCTGTCACTAACTCTGTGTGTCTCTCACTAACTCTGTGTCTCTCACTAACTCTGTGTGTCTCTCACTAACTCTGTGTCTCTCTCACTAACTCTGTGTGTCTCTCTCACTAACTCTGTGTGTCTCTCTCACTAACTCTGTGTGTCTCTCTCACTGTGTCTCTCACTAACTCTGTGTGTCTCTCACTATCTCTGTGTCTCACTAACTCTGTGTGTCTCTCACTAACTCTGTGTGTCTCTCTCACTAACTCTGTGTGTCTGTCACTAACTCTGTGTGTCTCTCACTAACTCTGTGTCTCTCACTAACTCTGTGTCTCTCACTAACTCTGTGTGTCTCTCACTAACTCTGTGTGTCTCTCTCACTAACTCTGTGTGTCTCTCTCACTAACTCTGTGTGTCTCTCTCACTAACTCTGTGTGTCTCTCTCACTAACTCTGTGTCTCTCACTAACCCTGTGTCTCTCACTAACTCTGCGTGTCTCTCACTAACTCTGTGTGTCTCTCTCAATAACTTTGTGTGTCTATCTCACTAACTCTGTGTGTCTCTTACTAACTCTGTGTCTCACTAACTCTGTGTGTCTCTCACTAACTCTGTGTGTCTCTCACTAACTCTGTGTCTCTCTCACTAACTCTGTGTGTCTCTCTCACTAACTCTGTGGGTCTGTCACTAACTCTGTGTGTCTCTCACTAACTCTGTGTCTCTCACTAACTCTGTGTCTCTCACTAACTCTGTGTGTCTCTCTCACTGTGTCTCTCACTAACTCTGTGTGTCTCTCACTAACTCTGTGTCTCACTAACTCTGTGTGTCTCTCACTAACTCTGTGTGTCTCTCTCACTAACTCTGTGTGTCTGTCACTAACTCTGTGTGTCTCTCACTAACTCTGTCTCTCTCACTAACTCTGCGTTTTTCTCTCACTAACTCTGTGTCTCTCTCACTAACTCTGTTTGTCTCTCTCACTAACTCTGTGTCTCTCTCACTAACTCTGTGTCTCTCTCACTAACTCTGCGTGTCTCTCTCACTAACTCTGTGTGTCTCTCTCACTAACTCTGTGTGTCTCCCTCACTAACTCTGTGTGTCTCTCTCACTAACTCTGTGTCTCTCTCACTAACTCTGTGTGTCTCTCTCACTAACTCTGTGTCTCTCTCACTAACTCTGTGTGTCTCTCTCACTAACTCCGTGTGTCTCTCTCACTAACTCTGTGTGTCTCTCACTAACTCTGTGTGTCTCTCTCACTAACTCTGTGTGTCTCTCTCACTAACTCTGTGTGTCTCTCACTAACTCTGTGTCTCTCTCACTAACTCTGCGTGTCTCTCTCACTAACTCTGCGTGTCTCTCTCACTAACTCTGTGTGTCTCTCTCACTAACTCTGTGTGTCTCCCTCACTAACTCCGTGCGTCTCTCTCACTAACTCGGTGCGTCTCCGTGTCTCTGCCGCTGACCCCCGCGCGCGTGTGCCCTCCGTCCTCTCAGCGCGCGCGGCCGAGCCCCTGGACGTGCTGGCGCTCAAGAGGAAGGTGGAGCGAGGCAAGAAGCGCAAGCTGGGGGCGCCGACCGAGCAGGAGCTGGTGCTCCGTCTCGAGAGCAGCACCTCCAAGGCGGACAAGGACAAGAGCAAGAAGAAGAACAAGAAGAAGAAGAAGACCAAGTTCGAGAAGACGACGAAGGGCAACGCCGACGATGCCTCGTCGGAGCGGACGAAGGACGCTGGCCGTGCAAAGGGCGGCGCCGCCATCGACGCGAGGCCGGGGGCTGCGAGCGGTGCCGGCGAGGGCGGCAAGGCCTTCGCCTCGAAGGGCAAGGCCTTCGCCTCCAAGGGCAAGGCCTTCGCCTCCAAGGGCAAGGCCTTCACCTCCAAGGGCAAGGCCGTCGCCTCCAAGGGCAAGGCCTCTGCCTCGAAGTTCGCTGCCGCCGGCACCTCGAACGGCACCTCGAAGGGCACCTCGAAGGGCAAGGCCGGCGCCTCGAAGGGCAAGAAGAGGGCTTGATGGCGGAGACTGACGCGGCGGGGGAGGAGTGGGGGGAGGGGGGTAGCTCGGGGGGAGTTATTGCGCAGTGGATCGTCACATGGTTGGGGATGGGCGGGGGGAGGGGCGTCTATCCCATCGGACCCCTGTCAAGCCCGTCAGACCCCTGTCTAGCCCGTCAGACCCCTGTCTATCCCGTTGGACCCCGAACCACCGTTTTGTTAAACGAAATTTGTTGCTTTTCGCCGCCGTGTTCCCTCTCTCTTTTGTTCCGCTGCCGTCGGTCTTTTCCTGTCACGGGACGGGGGGGGCGGGGTTCATTATTCGGAGCTGTCGCAGGGGATCCGGCAGCAGCAGCGGCGGCGGCGGCGGTGGCATCACCGCCCACCGCCTGTGTCGAGAGAACGGCCAGGAGCTGCTTCTCCCGAGCGGCCCCGTCCCGTTGCCTCTCGATCCACACACACACCACTCGGGTGGGTGGGGGGGCGGGGGGCGGGGTGGGATTGCTCCTCCTAGCTCGCCCAGCGTACACGGAGGGGTTGTCTCCGTCACGTGGCAGCCCCAAAGAGAGCTGTGATTGGGTCTTTTTTTGTTGTCTTCGAAATCTTTGAAGATGGTCAATCGGGCCGCATTTATCGCGGTAAGCCAAGTTTAGCATTGGTGGGGGGGGGGGGCGCTGGCGGAGCCGGGGGGGGGGGGGTGGGGTGACACGTGCCCCCCCCCCCCCAATAATCCGATCGAAATCCCTAAATTCGATCGGATAATTTGGGTTTATTAGTAATAAATTGGCGAACCCACTGCCACTGTGTAGCAGATTATTACGTGCCAGGGACTCTACGAGATGATAGGACGATAGTCTGAGTCCATAATTGGCAATAAGAATCGGCAAAGCGGTTATAAGTGACTCACAGAATTGTGCGCAGTTGCGTCTACAGAGTCCACGACTTCCCCGAAGGCATCGACACCTTCAGCGAGCGCGATGCCGATCACTAACAACGCGGTTCGAATCGACCCCTCGATCGATGGCTGCGTCATCGCCGCACACGCCTCGAGTAACAAGCAAGGGACAAGTCCTTACTTATTACTCACAACTTCTTACTTACTAACAACTCCTTACTTACTAACTCCTTACTTACTAACAACTCTTTACTTATTACTAACAACTCCTTACAAACAACTCCTATCATTTTTAATTGCTGGAGGGGTTGCCCCCCCTACCTGAAAATCCTGACTCTGCTTTGGGGGGGGGGGGTTAGGGTTTGTGAAGTAATTGATGTGAGTGGGTTGGGACCATCAAATTCAATTGTACTTGACAGCTTGAGAATCAGAATATTTATACTGGAGGAATCCGATGAGCTATACAGTGAGGGAAAAAGTGAGTATTTGATCCCCTGCTGATTTTGTACGTTTGCCCACTGACAAATGATCAGTCTATAATGTTAATGGTAGGTTTATTTGAACAGTGAGAGACGGAATAACAAAATCCAGAAAAACGCATGTCAAAAATGTTATAAATTTATTTACATTTTAATGAGGGAAATAAGTCTTTGACCCCTCTGCAAAAGATGACTTAGTACTTGGTGGCAAAACCCTTGTTGGCAATCACAGAGGTCTGACGTTTCTTGTAGTTGGCCACCAGGTTTGCACACATCTCAGGAGGGATTTTGTCCCACTCCTCTTTGCAGATCTTCTCCAAGTCATTAAGGTTTCGAGGCTGACGTTTGGCAACTCGAACCTTCAGCTCCCTCCACAGATTTTCTATGGGATTAAGGTCTGGAGACTGGCTAGGCCACTTCAGGACCTTAATGTGCTTCTTCTTGAGCCACTCCTTTATTGCCTTGACCGTGTGTTTTGGGTCATTGTCATGCTGGAATACCCATCCACGACCCATTTTCAATGCCCTGGCTGAGGGAAGGAGGTTCTCATCCAAGATTTGACGGTACATGGCCCCGTCCATCGTCCCTTTGATGCGGTGAAGTTGTCCTGTTCCCTTAGCAGAAAAACACCCCCAAAGCATAATATTTCCACCTCCATGTTTGACGGTGGGGATGGTGTTCTTGGGGTCATAGGCAGCATTCCTCCAAACACGGCGAGTTGAGTTGATGCCAAAGAGCTCAATTTTGGTCTCATCTGACCACAACACTTTCACCCAGTTGTCCTCTGAATCATTCAGATGTTCATTGGCAAACTTAAGACGGGCATGTATATGTGCTTTCTTGAGCAGGGAGACCTTGTGGGTGCTGCAGGATTTCAGTCGTTTACGGCGTGTGTTACCAATTGTTTTCTTGGTGACTATGGTCCCAGCTGCCTTGAGATCATTGACAAGATCATCCCGTGTAGTTCTGGGCTGATTCCTCACCGTTCGCATGATCATTGCAACTCCACGAGGTGAGATCTTGGAGCCCCAGGCCGAGGGAGAATGACAGTTCCTTTGTGTTTCTTCCATTTGCGAATAATCGCACCAACTGTTGTCACCTCACCAAGCTGCTTGGCAATGGTGTTGTAGCCCATTCCAGCCTTGTGTAGGTCTACAATTTTGTCCCTGACATCCTTGGAGAGCTCTTTGGTCTTGGCCATGGTGGAGAGTTTGGAATCTGATTGCTTCTGTGGACAGGTGCCTTTTATACAGGTAACAAGCTTAGATTAGGAGCACTCCCTTTAAGAGTGTGTTCCTAATCTCAGCTCGTTACCTGTATAAAAGACACCTGGGAGCCAGAAATCTTTCTGATTGAGAGGGGGTCAAATACTTATTTCCCTAATTAAAATGCAAATCAATTTATACAATTTTTGACGTTAGTTCTGGATTTTGTTGTTATTCTGTCTCACTTCAAATAAACCTACCATTAAAATTATAGACTGATCATTTCTTTGTCAGTGGGCAAACGTACAAAATCAGCAGGGGATCAAATACTTTTTTCCCTCGCTATAAAGGTCTTTTTGTTCAAAGATGTCCAGCAGTAGGGGCACGGGGTACGTACACCAAGCTCTTAAGGCTAATGGTTACTCCGACTATACAATCCGCAAAGCTATCACTCAAACCATGAAGAAGGACCCTCTTGAGGAGCCTCTCAAAACCATCACTTTACCCTACATTGCGGGGATCACAAAAAAATATCTCCAAAATCTTGAATAAACACAAGATCCAGGTCCGTTTCAACACATTACATAAAATCCGTGATCTAGTTCCGTCTGTAAAATATGTGATTCCGGACATACAGTACCCTGGCGTCTACAAACTAAGTTGCCTCTGTGGTAGTTACATTGGAGAAACCAAACGCCATGTCTCGGACCGCATCATGAACACAAAGCAGACCTTAAACACGGTAGGACCAACACCTCGGGCGTGGCAGATCATTGTTATAATTCAGTAGGCTCACGTGACATTGACTTCTCCAAGACAGAGGTTCTTTGTAAGCCATCTGGCTACCATGAGAGATTCGTTCATGAGGCTATCCACATATACAAGCACAGAGACAATTTCAACCGAGAAGATGGATTCTGGCTTAGCAATCATTGGAAAGATTTGATAAACCATTTCAGGTCTTAATTGATTGTTCACGCTTACGGTGGCTTTCAGACAGCATACATTAATTTTTCGTCTCCCCCCTCCTCTTTTCAGAACATAGATGGACTCGTCCTTCTAAATAAACTGCCAAATCGCTGCGCGTGGCGCTGACGGTTTTTATAAATAAATAAATACACCGTTTAAAAATAAATAACTTAATGCAAACCGACACACCTGATGACGACCGTTTGTGTTATGGTCGAAACGTCGTGAGAATTTTCATTGTCTTATATATTTTATTGTTTCCCTTCAACGTGGTGACTTTACCGAAAGAGCCAAGAATACAAAAACATAGTAGCTTGGTTTAATCACGGATGGGTGGTGGAGGGGGGGTTACACAACTCATCACTACGCGTGGCCCCAACCCAAAAACAATCCAACCTGCGGGTGATGGGCAACCTTAGGGTGGTGGTGGGGGGCAACCCGTGAACCCGTGGGAGCCCCTCGTAGTGGCCGGGTCTCGGTGCGTCTCGGGCGATGCGTGGTGGGGGGGGGGGGGGGGTGTCTCGATGAGGAGTGCTCAAGGGCGACGTGGAGCTTGCGGCCCACTGAGGTGCAGGAGCAGCAGCAGGAGGAGGAGAGGAGGGGGGAGGAGGGGAGGGCCCTTCGCTGGACTTGATGACCGACCAAAACAAAGTGTCCCTCGGATATGGAACGGGGGGGGGGGGGGGGGTGGGTTGTTGAGCAACGGGCGCGATGCGGCCACGTTTTAACGTCGCGAATAAACCCGACCCCCACGGGGGGGCCCAAGCCGGCAGCTGTAAAACCAATCGGGATTGTGCCGACTTGCCGGCTTGTGCCCCCTACCCCCCCCCCCCGCCGACGATGGCACCGCGTGGCGAGCGGCGTCGGCGTCCTCGCGTCTCACGATCGCTGCGGGAGCCAGCCCCTTGCGACGAGGACGTAACCGCCGCCGCCGCCGCCGCTCGACGGATTTTAATTTCAGAGCCTCGTCGTTACGGGGCGCGGAGGGTTCGCAGGGTGAGATTTGACCCAGGGTGAGATTTGACCCAGGGTGAGATTTGACCCAGGGTGAGATTTGACCCAGGTGTGAGATTTGACCCAGGGTGAGATTTGACCCAGGTGTGAGATTTGACCCAGGGTGAGATTTGACCCAGGGGGGTTCACGTGGCCTGATAAAGAGATGTCGATTTTATTCTTACAACCCTCGTGTACTCGGAGCATCCAGTCCTCTTTTTTTTTGACCAAATAAAATGCCGAGATAATACGGATTGCAAGATTTTGTTGACATTCTCTGGAATTTAAGGAAAATGCTAACGAATTAAGTACTTTAATCGGAGCACAATTTGAAACGTTATTGCGTTTTTGCACGAGCTGTCAGTCTTCTGTATTCACGACTACCACCGCTTCGGTGTCGCTAATATTATTGTCTTCCAAACGTTTCAATTCAAATAGACGTTTATTTAATCCCGTGTAGCCAGTGTAGCCAGTTACCCAGCCAGTTTTTGGTGGCAGCTGCCCGCTGTGCCAGGTTAAAAGAGAAAAACGTGTTAAGCGAAACGAAAAATTCCCCGTGAATGTAACGATAAAGTTCGTGCGAGCTACGTGGCAGGCGCAGCACAGTGAGATGGCCGGACAAATAATTGAGGGTACGGCGCCACATTACTGTATCACTCTGCCTACTCCATCACGCCGCTCAGCCGCAGAGCTCAAGAAAGTAGTCAACCGTTGAGAAACCGCGCTATCACGGTCGCGTTTCGGCGTTATAAAGGGCTGAGTGGTGAGATTCCAGGATCTGGGTGGTGAGACTCTAGGATCTGGGTGGTGAGACTCTAGGATCTGGGTGGTGAGACTCCAGGGCCTTGGTGGTGAGAATCTAGGATCTGGTAGTGAGACTCCAGGATCTGGGTGGTGAGACTCCAGGATCTGGGTGGTGAGACTCCAGGACCTTGGTGGTGAGACTCCAGGATCTGGGTGGTGAGACTCCAGGATCTGGGTGGTGAGACTCTAGGATCTGGGTGGTGAGACTCTAGGATCTGGGTAGTGAGACTCTAGGATCTGGGTGGTGAGACTCTAGGATCTGGGTGGGGAGACTCCAGGATCTGGTTGGTGAGACTCTAGGACCTTGGTGGGGAAACTCTAGGACCTTGGTGGTGAGACTCCAGGATCTGGGTGGTGAGACTCCAGGATCTGGGTGGTGAGACTCCAGGATCTGGGTGGTGAGACTCCAGGATCTGGGTGGTGAGGCTCCAGGATCTGGGTGGTGAGACTCCAGGTCTGCGTGGTGAGACTCTAGGACCTTGGTGGTGAGACTATGATCTGGATGGTGAGTCTCCAGGATCTGGGTGGTGAGACTCCAGGATCTGGGTGGTGAGCTCTAGGACCTTGGTGGTGAGAATCTAGGATCTGGGTGGTGAGACTCTAGGATCTGGATGGTGAGACTCTAGGATCTGGGTGTTGAGACTCCAGGATCTGGGTGGTGAGGCTCCAGGATCTGGGTGGTGAGACTCCAAGATCTGGGTGGTGAGACTCCAGGATCTGGGTGTTGAGACTCCAGGATCTGGGTGGTGAAACTCCAGGATCTGGGTGGTGAGACTCCAGTATCTGGGTGGTGAGCTGTAGGACCTTGGTGGTGAGAATCTAGGATCTGGGTGGTGAGACTCTAGGATCTGGGTGTTGAGACTCCAGGATCTGGGTGGTTAGACTCCAGGCTCTGGGTGGTGAGACTCTAGGACCTTGGTGGTGAGAATCTAGCACCTGGGTGGTGAGACTCTAGAATCTGGGTGGTGAGACTCCAGGATCTGGATGGTGAGACTCTAGGATCTGGGTGGTGAGACTCTAGGATCTGGGTGGTGAGACTCCAGGATCTGGGTGGTGAGACTCTAGGACCTTGGTGTTGAGACTCCAGGATCTGAGTGGTGGGACTCCAGGATCTGGATGGTGAGACTCTAGGATCTGGGTGGTGAGACTCTAGGATCTGGGTGGTGAGTCTCCAGGATCTGGGTGGTGAGACTCCAGGATCTGGGTGGTGAGACTCTAGGATCTGGGTGGTGAGACTCCAGGATCTGGGTGGTGAGACTCTAGGATCTGGGTGGTGAGACTACAGGATCTGGGTGATGAGACTCCAGGATCTGGGTTGTGAGACTCTAGGATCTGGGTGGTGAGACTCCAGGATCTGGGTGGTGAGACTCCAGGATCTGGGTGGTGAGACTCTAGGATCTGGGTAGTGAGACTCCAGGATCTGGGTGGTGAGACTCTAGGACCTTGGTGGTGAGACTCCAGGATCTGGGTGGTGAGACTCTAGGATCTGGGTGGTGAAACTCCAGGATCTGGGTGGTGAGACTCCAGGATCTGGGTGGTGAGCCTCTAGGATCTGGGTGGTGAGACTCTAGGATCTGGGTGGTGAAACTCCAGGATCTGGGTGGTGAGACTCCAGGATCTGGGTGGTGAGACTCTAGGATCTGGGTGGTGAGACTCCAGGATCTGGTTGGTGAGACTCTAGGATCTGGGTGGTGAGACTCCGGGATCTGGGTGGTGAGACTCCAGGATCTGGGTGGTGAGACTCCAGGATCTGGGTGGTGAGACTCTAGGATCTGAGTGGTGAGACTCCAGGATGGGCTGCAGCAGCAGCAACGTTCCCAGCAGTGACGCCGCCACATTCCCGTATCATTCTGCCAACTCTCAACACGCAGCTCAAGAAAGTAGTTCGTCGTCGACAGTTAACAAACGAACCGCGTTATAACGGTCCGCGTTATAACGGTCTGGGTGGTGAGGGACTCTTTTAAAGATCTGGTTGGTGCCCATAAAGGGGGTGGATGGATCGAGCATTCATGGACGGCCCCTTGGGACGGGGAGAAGGGTTACACTGTTGAGTTGTCGGTTCACGACGTGAAGAAGGCTGACGCAGCACACGAGGATCGGTGCGAGCGGTGGATCCAAGTTTCATTTTATAAAGGTGTAGCCCTGTGAGACATGCGGCTCTTAAGTCGTCTGGTGCAACCGCAACAAACAAAATTTGAACACGGAACATCCCAAAAGCGACGACGCGCAACAGGAATATCCTGGAATAAACCAGCAAATATATATTTTTAAAAAAACGTGTTAAAACGCTGTGTGCCAAAAATCACAATGCGGTGCAAGCCGCCGTCGCCAACAACAACAACGACAACAACCGTAAGACAATTTAGATTAACAAGCACATGGCTGAGCATTTAGTCGTCAAACACTCCGCCCTCTCAAAACTTCCCGTGAGTAAATGAATCGGCCGCTGAGAGAGAGTGTGTGTGGATGAGATTCCGTACCTGTGCAGTGTGCTCAAGACACCTGCGGTTTGGCAAACAGAAGTTTTTTTAGTTTGATATCGTCACAAATGTCTGACCTACCCCCCCACCCCACCCCTAGGTGCGTGACGTCATTTATGGACGGCCCCTTGGGAGTTCGTCAGCGCCCGCGGCTACTCTAACCACTTCGCCACCGCTCCCCGCAGTTTAAAGACCACCCGCGCACGTGCACCACGTGGGACTTCAGTAATCGAATCGCGCGTGGTGGCGCTGCGTCGATCCACGCGTTTGTCTTCGCCGTTGACTTAATGCAGCGGAGGAATCGATTCCGGATCTTTAAAATTCGATCCGCAGAGCGGAATTTTGCTCTGCAGTAAAGTCGGCTTTGCGCGATCGATATCAATCAGGGGCCGTCCCTGGGGGGAGGGGGGTTTGATGAATGTGACGTCACATCAAAATGCGCAACTTTAAATAAATATCGACAACACGTGCTACATTATATTCCTGGTTCATTCGGTAAAGTCACGTAGAAGGGAAACAATAAAATAAAAAAATATGAAACAATTTTTTATTTATTTTATTGTTTCCCTTCTACGTGACTTTACCGAAAGAACCAAGAATATGAATCCCTGCAGCCAACGAAAGCTTGACATCAACGTTCTACTTAATTAAATAGACTTAATACAAATAATTCTACAACATCATAGTGCAGCGCCACATTAATAAATACGCACAACAATGACAATACATTTTGATTTAAAGCTTTCGTGACTGCAGGGATTCATATTCTTGGTTCTTTCAGTAAAGTCACGTAGAAGGGAAACAATAAAATAATAAAAATATAAAACAATACAATTCTCACGACGTTTCGACTGCAACACAAGCAATCACATCAGGTGTGAAAACCACAGCAAGAAAATTTGAAAAAAGTGGCGTTTTTTTAACGTTAGCACCACGGATAGCGATTTGACAGTTTGTTCAGATGGACGAGTAGCGATTTGACAGTTTGTTCAGATGGACGAGTAGCGATTTGGCAGTTTGTTCAGATGGACGAGTAGCGATTTGACAGTTTGTTCAGATGGACGAGTAGCGATTTGGCAGTTTGTTCGGATGGACGTGTAGCGATTTGACAGTTTGTTCAGATGGACGAGTCCATCAGGAACAAAGCGATTTGACAGTTTATTCAGATGGACGAGTAGCGATTTGACAGTTTGTTCAGATGGACGAGTGGCGATTTGACAGTTCGTTCAGGTGGACGAGTAACGATTTGACAGTTTGTTCAGATGGATGATTAGCGATTTGACAGTTTGTTCAGATGGACGTGTAGCGATTTTGACAATTTGTTCAGATGGACGTGTAGCGATTTGACAGTTTGTTCAGATGGATGATTAGCGATTTGACAGTTTGTTCAGATGGACGAGTAGCGATTTGACAGTTTATTCAGATGGACGAGTAGCGATTTGACAGTTTGTTCAGATGGACGAGTGGCGATTTGACAGTTCGTTCAGGTGGACGAGTAACGATTTGACAGTTTGTTCAGATGGATGATTAGCGATTTGACAGTTTGTTCAGATGGACGTGTAGCGATTTTGACAGTTTGTTCAGATGGACGTGTAGCGATTTGACAGTTTGTTCAGATGGACGAGTAGCGATTTTGACAGTTTGTTCAGATGGACGAGTAGCGATTTGGCAGTTTGTTCAGATGGACAAGTAGCGATTTTGACAGTTTATTCAGATGGACAAGTAGCGATTTTGACAATTGGTTCAAATGGACGAGTAGCGATTTTGACAGTTTGTTCAGATGGACGAGTAGCGATTTGACAGTTTGTTCAGATGGACGAGTAGCGATTTGACAGTTTGTTCAGATGGACGTGTAGCGATTTGACAGTTTGTTCAGAGGGACGAGTAGCGATTTGACAGTTTGTTCAGATGGACGTGTAGCGATTTGACAGTTTGTTCAGATGGACGAGTAGCGATTTGGCAGTTTGTTCGGATGGACGAGTAGCGATTTGACAGTTTGTTCAGATGGACGAGTAGCGATTTGACAGTTTGTTCAGATGGACGAGTAGCGATTTGACAGTTTGTTCAGATGGACGAGTAGCGATTTGACAGTTTGTTCAGATGGACGTGTAGCGATTTGACAGTTTGTTCAGAGGGACGAGTAGCGAGTTGACAGTTTGTTCGGATGGACGTGTAGCGATTTGACAGTTTGTTCAGATGGACGACTAGCGATTTTGACAGTTTGTTCAGATGGACGAGTAGCGATTTGGCAGTTTGTTCGGATGGACGAGTCCATCAGGAACAAAGCGATTTGACAGTTTGTTCGGATGGACGAGTCCATCCGAACAAACTGTCAAATCTCTCTCCATGGTGCTAACGTTAAAAAAAAACGCCACTTTTTTCAAATTTTCTTGCTGTGGTTTTCACACCTGATGATGATTGCTTGTGTTGCAGTCGAAACGTCGTGATAATTTTATTGTTTTATATTTTTATTATTTTGTTTCTCTTCTACGTGGTGACTTTACCGAAAGAACCAAGAATACAATGACAATAGTTGAAAGCGATTTGAATCATGTTTAAAAAAAAATTGGGGGGGGGGGGCAGAGCTTTGTGACATCAAATTTGAGGGGGTCAGATTGGGGGGGGGTCAAAAATCGTCCAAAATCGCGTGACGTCATTTATGGACGGCCCCTAATATAGGTGTGTTGGATAGTAAAGCCACTACAACGTTGACAATTCGAGTCCGACGTTTCGCCAGCAGTAATGACAACCGACATCAGGCGTCCACCAAGAGTAATCGAGTTAAATTTTGATTTAAAGCTTTCGTGACTGCAGTGATTCATATTCTTGGTTCTTTCGGTAAAGTCACGTTGAAGGGAAACAATAAAATAATCGAGTTGTTTGAGGAATCGACAGCCGCTCGATATCACCATTTTATTTTTGTCAGGAGAATCGAATCGCTTCGAGCGAGAGAGACGCGTTTAGCGGCGAGCAGCCGCCGACCGATTCGTGGTAAAATTTTGTCGGAGCCAACGATTCCACCGTAGCTATCGATTCCCCCGCGTGTTGAAGCGCTTTAAAGAATCGATTGGAGAGGCGACGCCGAGTCGTCAGCGCGATCCGGGGAATCGATCGGGGCAGTGTAGTGGTGGTGGTGGTTGTTGTGATGGCCTCGAGGCCTCAGAGTGATGGTAGCGTGGTGAGGGTGAGGGGCGAGGTGAGGAGCGGGGTGAGGGCCGAGGTGAGGGCCGAGGCGGCGGCGGCGGTGGCGGCGACCGCGGGAGGTGGAGGCGGTGGCGGCGGTGACGAGAAGGCTGCCGACAAGGCCGAAGCGCTGACGAACGGCAAGGCGAGGGAGGGCGCCGGAGACGCGGGGCCGCGTGGAGCGGACTCCGAGGACAGGTGGACACCTCCTCGCCTGCCCTCTCTCCCTCTCTCTCCCTGCCCTCGCCTGCCCTTCTCCCTCTCTCTGCCCTTCTCTCTCTCCCCCCACCCTCACCTGCCCTTCTCTCTCCCTGCCCTTCTCCCTCTATCCCTGCCCTTCTCCCTATCCCTGCCCTCGCCTGCCTTTCTCTCTCTCCCTGCCCTTCTCTCTCGCCTGCCCTTCTCCCTGCCCTCGCCTGCCCTTCTCTCTATATCTCCCTGCCCTTCTCTCTCCCTGCCCTTCTCTCTCGCCTGCCCTTCTCCCTGCCCTCGCATGCCCTCTCTATATCTCCCTGCCCTTGTCGATCTCCCTCTCTCTCGCCTGCCCCTCTCTCTCTCCCTCTCCCCCTGCCCTTCTCTCTCTCGCCTGCCCTTCTCTCCCTGCCCTCTCTGTCCATGCCCTTCTCGCTCTCGCTCTTCTCTCCCTCTCTCACTGCCCTTCTCTCTTGCATGTCCTCTCTCCCTCTCCTGCACTTCTCTCTCGCCAGCCCTTCTCTTTCTCCCTGTCCTTCTGTCTCTTCCAAGTGTGTATTGCATGTATGTGTGTGTGTATCTGTGTATGTGTTTGCATGTGTGTGTCTTTGTATGTGTGTGTATCTGGGAATGTGTTTGCGCGTGTGTGTGTGTCTTTGTATGTGTGTGTGTGTATCTGGGAATGTGTTTGCATGTGTGTGTATCTGTGTATGTGTTTGCATGTGTGTGTGTCTTTGTATGTGTGTGTGTATCTGGGAATGTGTTTGCATGTGTGTGTATCTGTGTATGTGTTTGCATGTGTGTGTGTCTTTGTGTGTGTGTATCTGGGAATGTGTTTGCATGTGTGTGTGTCTTTGTGTGTGTGTATCTGGGAATGTGTTTGCGCGTGTGTGTGTGTGTCTTGTGTGTGTGTATCTTGTATGTGTGTGTATCTGTATATCTGTGCGTGTGTTGGTTATGTGATGCTTTGGCTGCCGTGCCTCAAATATTAACAGAAGTAGCCACCCCACTTCTGAATGGTTGGCTGAGGTGCCATCTGTGGAGAAAGCGCGAGAGGCGATCCGACGTCCGAGACCAGGAAACGTGCAGGGCAGAGACGATCTCCCAAGTGAAACGCCGAGGGAGGGTGGCATCTTGTCTGCAGGCTGCTCTACATGACATCATCACAACTGTCTGGACCACAGGACGGGTTCCGCAGGATTGGAATGACACCCTGGTTGTCCCTGGCAGTCCCCCCCCCCCCTCCTTAAGAGGGGGGACCGCACAGATTGTAACAACTACAGGAGCATCACTCTTCTCGGTGTGCCAGGAAAGATCCTCGCAAGGATTATTCAACACCGCCTTGCCAGGCACGCCGAGGAGAGGATTACGGAGCCCCAAATGTGGTTTCAGACCAGGGCGGTCCTGCACGGATGCTATATTCTCTGTCCGTCTGCTACAGCAGAGGTGTAGGGAATTCCAACTAGACCTACATCTTTGCTTTGTTGACCTGGCCAAGGCCTATGAAACCATCAACAGGCCAGGGCTGTGGGCAGTTCTTCGTGCTTTCGGAGTCCCTGACTTTCTGCTCACAATCATTAATGGCCTTCATGATGGTGGGCAGGCCCAGGTAAAGCTTTGTGGCCAGGAGTCGGAGGCATTCCCTGTACACCTTGGGGTGTGACAGGGTTGTCCTCCCATATTATTAAACATCATCTTTGGCCACGTAATTCGAGAAGCTTTCCATGGCTGTACTGCAAGGAATTTCCATCTGGTACAGATATAACGGGAGGCTGATCGATGCCCGGGTTTGGAAAAGGGATGGCTTCCTGTTGGTCAGCCATGTCATGTATGCTAATGATTTGGTGACTTCTGCTCACTCAGAGGAGGAGTTGGAGGCACTGCTGCTGAACCTGGAGCGTGCCACTAAACACCTGCCTCCAAACACTCTACCCCCGCGGCTCTTCATTGGTGATGGAGCAGTAGTGGAGAGAGTGGAGAGTTTCCTATACCTGGGCAGTGTGCTTATGACCAGCTCCGGTTTGACAGCAGAGGTCTAACTTCGAATCAGTCGAGCGGCATTATCTTTTCATCGGCCGCGTAACGCTTTGTGGAAGCTACCTGGTCTGGCTCTCCGCACGAAGCTTCGGGTCTTCTCGGCCATGGTCATTCCCTCCATGTTTTGCAAGCGTAGAGAAGGGTTCCCCGTAATGGAACTTCTTCCCCGGTTAGAAACATTCAGGCTGGCCTGCCTACGATCCATCCTGGGTTTAACCAGGCTGGATTTTGTGAGGAGCTCACCAATCCTTTAACGATCTGGACAAAGTCCCATCCGTAAGCTCCTCCGGGAGGCAAGGCTGCGCTGGCTGGGTCATGTAGCCCGCATGCCCACTCACCGCATACCCAAGCAACTTCTGTTTATGGCGGATAGAGGGGGCTAAGCGGGCACGGCACGGGCCAGAGAAGAGATGGAGTGACGTGGTACAGGAGGACGTGGAGCTGAGTGGGCCTGCCGATGACCGGTACCAGCGGTGTCTTGATCAGAGGATTCTCTCGCACAATGCCCCTGGACCGTGCCAGGATTTGTGCTGCTTGGAAAGTTGGAAGCGGTGGAGGTATCCGCTCGCGACAACGAGTGGAGCGCCCGGGTGGCTAAAACGTAGTGGGGGAGTACGAGCCAGTCATCTCGGCCAACCTGTAACGCACGGGGTCCGTTATGCCATCTCCCAGCGAGCTTTACGCGTTTCCCGTCGCCTCATCGTGCACCCGGCCCCCGGCGCGTCGCACCACGAACCCGGCGGGCCGAGCTTTCGATTCCAGCTCGTGGTCGACAGCGGCGTTGATTATCTGAACCGGTTCTGGGCCTCCTCCCCCACCCCCTGCTGAGTCGAATCGGTCTCGAATGAGAAGCCGGTCACGGCCGGGCCCGTGGTGCTGGCCACCCGCTCCCCCTTGTGTGCCGTGCTTGGCCTTAACCGCTCTGAGGCTACTGCTGGGGTGGGGGATCTCTTTTTTTTGTTTTCATCATGCTAAGTCCGCCAATCAAATGCGAATTTTTTTTACGCCAATTCCTTTGTCGAGGCACCTTAATCCCTCTCACACAGCTTAAAGGTCCGCGGTCTGAGCTTGTGCTCTGTTTCGCTCCAGCGCAGTCTTCGAGACAGGCGCCGGTCCCTTCACCTGACGAAGGCCGCTTGTGTTGTGGCCGAAACGCCGTGATTTTTTGGTTGTTTAAATTTTTTTGACCTACGCGACTTTAACCGAATAGAACCAAAGAGTATGGATCCTTGCAGTCACGAAAGCTTCAAATCTAGAAAGGATTTTTTTTTTTCTCTCTTTTCTCTCTTTGTAGCGTGAGCACGTTCCCGGACGCGGAGAGCACCGTGTCGTCGGGCCGCTCCACCCCGGCGTTCACGGCGTTCACGGCGTTCACGGCGGGCGGAGGCGGCGGAGGCGGCGGAGGCGGCGGAGGCGGCGGAGGCCCCCCACCGCACGCGCCCCCCACAGTGCACCCGCTGGCGGCCGCGTGCGTGTGCCGCTGGGACAAGTGCCAGGCGGCGTTCGGCTGCAGCCCCGACCTGGCGGAGCACATCCGCACGGCGCACGTGGACCGGCAGGCCAGCCGGGAGGTGAGGGGGCAGCGCCGAGCGCGCACGCAAAGACAAAGCTCCCCCGTGTAGCCTGCAACAGGCTGTCGGGGGCAAGTGCTGTTGGCGAGCAGCACCTATACAGCGAAGACAAAGCTCCCCCGTGTAGCCTGTAACAGGCTGTTGGGGCGAGTGCTGTTAGCGAGCAGCACCTATATAGCAAAGACAAAGGTCCCCCGTGTAGCCTGCAACAGACTGTTGGGGCGAGTGCTGTTAGTGAGCACCACCTATACAGCAAAGACAAAGATCCCCCGTGTAGCCTGTAACAGACTGTAGGGGGCAAGTGCTGTTAGCGAGCAGCGCCTATAAAGCAAAGACAAAGATCCCCCGTGTAGCCTGTAACATACTGTAGGGGCAAGTGCTGTTAGCGAGCAGCGCCTATAAAGCAAAGACAAAGATCCCCCGTGTAGCCTGTAACATACTGTAGGGGGCAAGTGCTGTTAGCGAGCAGCGCCTATAAAGCAAAGACAAAGATCCCCCGTGTAGCCTGTAACAGACTGTTGGGGCGAGTGCTGTTGGCGAGCAGCGCCTATGAAGGCCGGCACTGTGGCGCACGAGGTGGTTGGGGTGGCCAGCGCCACGCCCCGCCGCCTTTTGTCACGCACGCACAGATGCGCACACGTACACACAGATGCGCATGCACGTATACACAGGCATGCGCGCGTGTACGCACAGACACGTACGTACGCACAGACACGTACGCACAGACACGTACGGACGCACAGACACGTACGGACGCACAGACACGTACGGACGCACAGACACGTATGCACAGACTCGTACGAACACGCACAACAACGCTTGGGGGCGGTGACGTCAACCACGGCGCTCGTGCCAGGCCAGGTGCACTTTAAGGCCACGCGAAGTGTCGAAGGCTTTCGCTGCTGGTCGGAGGTCACGGGAGAGACCCAGCAGGTGCCGTGGGTTGACCGACCGAGGCGACTGGCCCGATGCGCCAGACTGTGCCCCCCCCCCCCCTACTGTGCCAACCAGTGAACACTCCGCTCGTTGTTGTGAGCGTCGCTCCCTCCGCCCCCCATTGTTGCTGGGGGGCGACTGCCTCCAACTGCTCAGCAGCGGCGGCGGTGCCGGCGCCCTTTGCGAGCCTCCTCCTCCACAGAGGCCGATCCTGACACCGCTGGTTCCGCTCATCGGCCAGCCCGCTCGGTTCCACGTCCTCGGATGCTCCACGAATCCGCACCGGTCGCGCGTAGCGTAACAAGCGGCCGGCATGTCCTCCCCCCCCCCCCTAATCGCGGGCAGGTGTTCGTGTGCCTGTGGAAGGGCTGCAAGGTGTTCAACACGCCGTCCTCCAGCCACAGCTGGCTCCAGAGGCACGTGCTGTCGCACAGCGGAGACAAGCCCTTCAAGGTGACACGGCCGCGCCCTCCCTCACCTCCCCCATCGCTCTTGTCAACAAACAAACAAAACTCCGCACGCACACGCGCACTCGAACACTCCGCGCATACTCGCACACACACACTCGCACAGACTCGCTCGTACACACTAAAACACTCGCACACACTCGCACACACACACTCACACACTCGCACTCACATACACTCGCTCGCACACTTACACACGCACACTTGCACACACTCACACTCGCACACTTACACACGCACACTCGCACACACACACACTCGCACACTTACACACTCGCACACTTGCACACTAAAACACTCGCACACACACACTCTCCAACACACACACACTTGCACACACACTCTCGAACACACACACTCGCGCGCTTACACACTAAAACACTCGCGCACACACACACACTTGCACACACACTCTCGAACACACTCGCACACACACACACTCGCACACACACACACTCGAACACTCGCGCACACACACACTCGCACACTCTCACACCAACGCACGCACGCACACTCACAGTTGCACACGCTCTCACTGACACTCCGCCAACTCCACCCAGCCAGGAGCCCGAGTGCGGACTTCAACCCGGGCCCGGCACAGCCGGCAACCTCCCCCACGCGCCGCGTCCCTCACCGCCCCCCCCGCCCCCCGCCCCCGCCCCCCCGCCCCCCCGCCCCCCGCCCCCCCCCCCCCGCCCCGCAGTGCGTGATCGATGGCTGCACGGCGACGTTCGCGTCCCAGATGGGGCTGGCGCGCCACGTGCCCACTCACTTCAGCAGCTCGCCCTCGGCGGGGCGCCCGCCCAGCCGCCCCGCCTCAAGGAGGAGTCCCCCAGCAAGGCGCTGGCCGGCAAGCGCAAGCAGCGTCTGCGCTGCAAGCGGCGCTTCTCTCTGCGTGAGTCGGCAGCCCCCCCCCCCCCCCCCCCCCCCCCCCCCCCCCACGCCGACGAGTGACCCCGGGGCGACCCCCGAGTGACTGACGCTCGGCTGGTGAGCGTGAGAGCGAGCGGATGGTGAGGTGAGAGAGAGCGGCTGGTGAGCGTGAGAGAGAGCGGCTGGTGAGCGTGGGAGAGAGCGGCTGGTGAGCGTGAGAGAGAGCGGCTGGTGAGCGTGGGAGCGAGCGGTTGGTGAGCGTGAGAGCGAGCGGCTGGTGAGCGTGGGAGCGAGCGGCTGGTGAGCGTGAGAGCGAGCGACTGGTGAGCGTGAGAGCGAGCGGCTGGTGAGCGTGAGAGCGAGCGGTTGGTGAGCGTGGGAGCGAGCGGCTGGTGAGCGTGGGAGCGAGCGGCTGGTGAGCGTGGGAGAGAGCGGCTGGTGAGCGTGGGAGAGAGCGGCTGGTGAGCGTGAGAGCGAGCAGCTGGTGAGCGTGGGAGCGAGCGGCTGGTGAGCGTGGGAGCGAGCGGCTGGTGAGCGTGGGAGTGAGCGGCTGGTGAGCGTGGGAGCGAGAGGCTGGTGAGCTTGAGAGTGAGCGGCTGGGTGAGCGTGAGAGCGGCTGGTGAGCGTGAGAGCGAGCGGCTGGTGAGCGTGAGAGCGAGCGGGCTGGTGAGCGTGGGAGAGAGCGGCTGGTGAGCGTGGGAGCGAGCGGCTGGTGAGCGTGGGAGCGAGCGGCTGGTGAGCGTGGGAGCGAGCGGCTGGTGAGCGTGAGAGCGAGCGGCTGGTGAGCGTGGGAGCGAGCGGCTGGTGAAGCGTGGGAGCGAGCGGCTGGTGAGCGTGGGAGCGAGCGGCTGGTGAGCGTGAGAGCGAGCGGCTGGTGAGCGTGGGAGCGAGCGGCTGGTGAGCGTGGGAGCGAGCGGCTGGTGAGCGTGGGAGCGAGCGGCTGGTGAGCGTGAGAGAGAGCGGCTGGTGAGCGTGAGAGCGAGCGGCTGGTGAGCGTGAGAGCGAGCGGCTGGTGAGCGTGAGAGCGAGCGGTTGGTGAGCGTGGGAGTGAGCGGCTGGTGAGTGTGAGAGAGAGCGGCTGGTGAGGGTGAGAGAGAGCGGCTGGTGAGCGAGAGAGAGAGCGGCTGGTGAGCGTGAGAGCGGCTGGTGAGCGTGGGAGCGAGCGGCTGGTGAGCGTGGGAGAGAGCGGCTGGTGAGCGTGGGAGCGAGCGGCTGGTGAGCGTGCTCTCTGTGTTGTCACGGCACAGCGAAGCCGGACGACTTCTTCGACGCACAGATGATGGACGCCATCCGGCACCGGCTCATGAGCTTCAACCTCAACACCCAGGTGGACAGCCAGGGCGGGGGCCACAGCGTGGTGTTCCACAGCGCGGTACGCTCCACGGTACACACCATGGTACACACCACGGTACGCTCCACGGTACACACACACACCACGGTACACACCACGGTACACACCATGGTACACACCACGGTACGCACCACGGTACACACACACACCACGGTACACACACCACGGTACACACCACGGTACACACACACACCACGGTACGCTCCACGGTACGCTCCACGGTACACACCACGGTACACACCACGGTACGCACCACGGTACACACACACACCACGGTACACACACACACCACGGTACACACCACGGTACACACCATGGTACACACCACGGTACGCACCACGGTACACACACACACCACGGTACACACGCCACGGTACACACCACGGTACACACACACACCACGGTACGCTCCACGGTACACACCACGGTACACACCACGGTACACACACACACCACGGTACACACCACGGTACACACCACGGTACACACACACACCACGGTACGCTCCACGGTACACACCACGGTACACACCACGGTACACACTACGGTACGCACCACGGTACACACACACACCACGGTACGCTCCACGGTACACACCACGGTACACACCACGGTACACACACACACCACGGTACACACACCACGGTACACACCACGGTACACACACACACCACGGTACGCTCCACGGTACACACCACGGTACACACCACGGTACGCACCACGGTACACACCACGGTACGCTCCACGGTACACACCATGGTACACACCACGGTACACACCACGGTACACACACACCATAGTACACACACCACGGTACACACACCACGGTACACACCACGGTACACACCACGGTACACACCACGGTACGCACCACAGTACACACACCATAGTACACACCACGGTACACACACGCGCCACGGTACGCACCACGGTACACACCACGGGACACTCCACGGTACACACACACACCATAGTACACACGCACACACACCACGGTATAAACCACGGTACACGCAAAAGAGACAAAGATCCCCCGTAGAGCCTCAACAGACTGTTGGGGCAAGTGCTGTTAGCGAGCAGCACCTATGAAGGCCGGCACGGCACACGAGGGGGTGGGTGGTCAACAATTCACACCCGGCTAGGGCTGAACGATTAATCGATTTCAAATCGAAATCGCAATTTGAAACAATGCGATTAGCAAATCGCAAAGGCTGCAAATGTTTTTTTTGCGATTTGAAAAGGTCCTGTGACTTTCTTATTGGAATTGGTTTACTTTAATGTTATTCTAACTTTGTTTATTTAACTTAATTGTTCCATGTTTGATTGTTCTATTTCAATTGAATTTTTTTTTTATAAATACACGTTGGAAGCAATTCGTGTCTTTTAAGTTATCATCCCTGCATTAGAATATATGGAGCAGTTCATATGTTGATGGTGTCACGTGGTAATGCTCCATCACGTGTTTAAAATCTACTACACAGTGAATATTGAACTGAAGCTTGACTTAAAAAATTTTAATCGCAAATCAAATCGCAATCGTCAGAAAAATCGCAATTAAATATTTTCCCCAAATCGTTCAGCACTACACCAGGGGCCCCTTTTCTCTCCCGCCACGGCTGCCACTCGCCACCAGGTGGCAGCACAGCCCCTCACACAGAGACACATAGACTCGCACACACACAGACACATAGACTCACACACAGAGACACACATAGAGACACATAGACTCGCACACACACAGACACAGACTCACACAGAGACCCATAGACACACACACACAGAGACACATAGACTCACACACACAGAGACACAGACTCACACAGACACATAGACTCAAACACACACAGACACATAGACTCACACACAGACCCATAGACTCACACACACACAGACACATAGACTCACAAACAGACCCATAGACTCACACACACACACAGAGACACATAGACTCACACACACACACACAGAGACACATAGACTCACACACACACACACAGAGACACATAGACTCACACACACAGAGACACATAGACTCACACACACAGACCCATAGACTCACACACACAGAGACACATAGACTCACACAGAGACCCATAGACTCACACACACACACAGAGACACATAGACTCACACACACAGAGACACATAGACTCACACAGAGACCCATAGCCTCACACACACACAGAACCATAGACTCACACACACAGAGACACATAGACTCACACAGAGACCTATATACTCATACACACACAGATCCATAGACTCACACACAGAGACACATAGACTCACACAGAGACCCATAGACTCGCACAGAGACCAATAGACACATACACAGACCCATAGACTCACACACACACACACAGACCCATAGACTCACACACACACAGATCCATAGATTCACACACACACACAGACACATAGACTCGCACAGAGACCCATAGACTCACACACACACAGAGACGCATAGACTCACACACAGAGACCCATATACTCACACACACACAGACCCATTGACTCACACAGAGGCTCATAGACTCGCACACAGAGACCCGTATACTCACACACACACAGACCCATAGACTCACACAGACACAGCCCCTCGATCCACAGAGACCCATAGACTCGCACACACACAGACCCATAGACTCACACACAGACCCATAGACTCACACACACACACAGACCCATACACTCACACAGAGACCCATAGACACACACAGGGACTCATAGACTCACATAGGGAGCCATAGTCTCACATACAGACTCGCACACAGACTCACACGGAGACCCATAGACTCAAAATGTGTCTCCTGGCCTCTGGTCGTAAAGCGAAAGCATTTACATCAAATACAACATTCATGGCAATGGCCCTTGTTGAGTGACTGTTGAATCTGTGTGTGTGACGGTGTGTGTGTCTGTGTGTGGGGAGCGGTATTGTAGCGGTTAGCGCGCTGCGCTAAGAACCTGGCGATCCGGGTTCGATTCCCACTCACGGCCAACACCAGTGACGATTATCATCGTCACTGGTTCGGATAATTATCTGAACCGGTCCTGGTCCTCCCCTAGGTCGACTCGGCTTCAAATGACCCCTGGTGCGGTGTGTAGTAAACATCGCCACTGCGGAGACAAAATGCCCCTCGTGTGCCGTGCCGGCCTTTGTAGGCGCTGCTCGCTAACAGCTCTTGCCCCAACGGTCTGTTAAGGCTACACGGAGACGGGAACCTTTGCCTTTGCACTTGTGAGCGAGCAGGTGGTGGCGCGCAGGAAGGACGAGACGGGCAAGGTGAAGGTGCTGCTGCACTGGACCCCTGAGGACATGTGAGCCCGAAGCCGTCTTCACGACGGTTTATCGTCTCGCGTGCATGGGGCACGCTCCCGCGGGGGCCGCGGGACCCGCGGGGCGCGGAGCGGCGAGTCGTTGCCCTCCCGCCTCGGTGCTCCTGGGCTGGCGGTGCTCCTGGGGAGCCCGCCGCTCAAGGACACCGCCCCCCCCCCCCCCCCCCCCCCCCCCCCCCCCCCACCCCCCACCCCCCCCACCATGCGTGCTCAATGTGCGGTGCGTGCGCGTCAACAAATCTGTTTTCGTGTTCCACCAACCCTCGCCTACAAAGGTGCAGATTGCAGGCGGCGTTCCCGGCGCCGCCGCCGCCGCCGGCACTCTCACCACTACCGCGACTGCCGCCACCGCCGACAACTCCCATCACCGCTACAGCCACCGCTACAACCACCACTGACACCACTTGCACAACCACCACCACGGCCACCACTGCCACCACTTGCACAACCACCACCACGGCCACCACTGCCACCACTTGCACAACCGCCACCACCGCCACCACTGCCACCACTTGCACAACCACCGCTACAACCACCACCGCCACCACCACTGACACCACTTGCACAACCACCGCTACAACCACCACCACTGCCACCACTGACACCACTTGCACAACCACCGCTACAATCACCACCGCCACCACCACTGACACCACTTGCACAACCACCGCTACAACCACCACCGCCACCACTGACACCACTTGCACAACCACCACTACAACCACCACCGCCACCACTGACACCACTTGCACAACCACCGCTACAACCACCACCACTGACACCACTTGCACACCCACCACCACTGCCACCACCGCCACCACTGCCACCACTTGCACAACCATCAATACAACCACCACCGCCACCACTGACACCACTTGCACAACCATCGCTACAACCACCACCGCCACCACTGCCACCACTTGCACAACCACCGCTACAACCACCACCGCCACCACTGCCACCACTTGCACAACCACCGCTACAACCACCACCGCCACCACTGACACCACTTGCACAACCACCGCTACAACCACCACCGCCACCACCACTGACACCACTTGCACAACCACCGCTACAACCACCACCACCACCGCCACCACTGACACCACTTGCACAACCACCGCTACAACCACCACCACTGCCACCACTGACACCACTTGCACAACCACCGCTACAACCACCGCCACCACCACTGACACCACTTGCACAACCACCGCTACAACCACCACCACTTGCACAACCACCACCACTGACACCACTTGCACAACCACCACCACTGCCACCACCGCCATGACCGCCGGCACTCTCGCCACCACCGCGACTGCCACCATCACTACCATCACCGCCGCCACCACCACCACCACTCTCACCACCACCGCTATACCACCACTCCCCCCACCACGACCGCCACCACCGTCGTCCCTCGTGACGGCGGTTGCGTGTTCCTGCAGCAGCGCTCCGAGCGGCCGCTGCTGATTAAACGAGCATTGATTGAGTTAGCGAGGGCTGCTCGCCCGCCCGCCCGCCCGCCCGACCGTCGGTTCGATGCCGGTGTCTGCCGGGGCAAAGCCGCGCCAGCGGCAGCGCCGGTGCCGCGCTGGCACCGGCAGACACCGGCGAGAGCGCTGGCGGATGCCGACGGGCAGTTTCCGCGCGGGCGGGCGGGCGGGCGGGCGCCTTGTCGAGCGCGAACGTCGATTCGCGTGGCGGTGGCCGCGGTGCGGGCGAGCGTGAAAGTTGAACGGGAGCTCCCGTTCCGCTACGGTGCGCGAGTGGGGGGCGGGGGGCGAGCGGGGAGATGGGGGGCGAGCGGGGAGATGGGGGAGCGTGTGTGTGGGGGGGGTGTGTGCGTGTGTGCGTGTGTGCGTGTGTGCGTGTGTGCGTGTGTGCGTGTGCGCGAGTGTGCGCGCTTGTAGCGGCAGAGCCCGTTTCCTGGAACTCGCAATCTAATGAGGCCGCGCGTGCGTGCGTGCGTCTGGGGTCGCGCGTGCAGGCTCCTGCTTGTGTGCGTGTGTTGCTTGAGCTTGCGCGCGCGCGTGTGTGTGCGTGTGTGTGTGTGCGCGTGCATTAGTGTGTACATGCGTCTGAGCGAGCGAGTGTGTGTACATGTGTCCGTGTGCGTATCTGTGTCCCATCCCAGCCTGAGTGGGTGCTCCCGAACGGCACTGGCCCGCAACAGGGTTGTGAAAGGCTACACGGGGCAGCTTTCTCTCCGTGTCTGTGCCTGTAGTTTTCTTCATTTGCCTGCATGTCGTGTTCCTCCCCATGCATCCCGTGTGTATGCAAGCGTGGGACTGCTTATGTGTGCCTGCATTCGTATCTGCTTATGCGTGTCTGCACGCCTATCTGCTAGAGTGCGTGTGTGTGAGTGTGTGTGCCTACGTGTGTGTGTGTGTGGGGAGCGGTAGTGTAGCGGAACCGGTGACCCGAGTTCGATTCCCGCTCACTGCCAACACCAGCGACGATTATCTGAACCGGTCCTGGGCCTCCCCTAGGTCGACTCGGCCTCAAATGAGTAACCTGGCGCGGTGTGTAAACATCGCCACACTGGGGAGACAAAGGCGGCCGGGCGTGGTGCTGGCCACCCTATACCCCCTCGTGTGCCGCGCCGGCCTTCATCATTGGCGCTCTGGACCGAGCACTTGCCCCAACAGTCTGTTCAGGCTATACGGGGGATGTTTGTATTTGTGTACGTCTCTGTCTGTACACGTATCTGCTAGTGTGTGTGTATCTTTGCCTTATCTGTGTGTGCGTGGGTCTGTGTGTGCCTTGGTCCGCGTGCGTGTCTCCCCCGCCCCCCGTGTCCGCGCGGGTGTTTGCGTGTCCGCGAACGTGTGCCTGTGTGCCTGTGTGCCTGCGCGTGCGTCTGCCTGGAGCATGCGTCTGCACGCTGGAGTATGCGTCCACGCGTGACTGTGTCTGTCTACGTGTGCGTGCGTGTGTGTGTGTGTGTCTGCGTGTGTGTGTGTGCGCGTGTGTGTGCGTGTGTGTGTGCGCGTGTCTGGTGGAGGGTGGCGGGGGGAAGTAAAGGCTTGACGCTAGCCGGCCGATATGACCTTCACAGCAAACCGACGTGGGGTTGCTACCCACAATCCCCTCCTCCCGCCTTCCACGTGAACTCCTCTCGCGGACCGCGGCCGGAACATCCGAGCGTAGGCTCCCATCGAGCGCGGTCGACTACGTACGGCGCGAAAGAAGTTCGGCGCGGAGTGGGAGGGGGGGGTGGGACCTGCAGGCGGGCAGGCAGGAACGTCACCCCCCGTTCGTTTGACCGTAGGGGGGCACGGTGGCTCCAGAAACGTCGGGCGAGCCGAGTTCGAATCCGGGGCCTTGGCTCACGGTGGCCTCGGACAAGCACGCACGCCCCCGTGTGCGGTTCGAGCGAGGCCGCTTGCAAAGGTCGCGATGTGTCGCGAGGTCAAACCCTGAAAAATTATTTCTGTTTGGTGTTTAAACATTGCAGAAATGGTGACATTGGCAAGAAGAGGTCCCATATTGTAGCCGCTCACCCCGAGCATCTCAATGCCCGTGACGGTGCCGTTGTCTTTGTGCCTGTTCGCCTGTTGGCCTCGTCCTCTTGTCTCTGACGCCGTTGTGAGACGAGGTTCTAAAGAAAAGCTGTCTCTGGTGTGGACCAATCGGTGTCAAAGACGATGGCATCGTCATACACCAGCAGAGCACGTGTTTGTTGGTTGCACGTTCACCGCAAGGTACCGTGTGTGGTTAATTGCGGACAGGATTCCTTGTAAGAGGTTTCCGTTTGGTGTTTTAACATCTTTAACGGCTGGTTTGTGTTTTTTTCGCCAGAAAGGGTAAAACCTTAAATTCTTTTATTTTAACACTGGCAAGAAAAGGTCCCATATTGTAGCCGCCCACCCTGGGCATCTCAATGCCCCTGACGGTGGCATTGTCTTTGTGCCCGTTCGCCTTTTGGCGTCCTCTGGTTTCTGTTTGGTGTTTCAGCATCCTGTTTCATAACACCTTTTCTCAAACCCCGGTTTTGTTGGTGGTTGGGGTGGGGTGGTGGTGGTGGCGGTGGGTGGGTTAACTCGGCCAATCCGTCGTCCGTTCGGGAGGGGGGGGGGGGGGGGGTCGATGCGGAAGTCGAACGGCGGCCGTCCCTCGCCGCTGCCGCGCGGAACGTGGAATTTCCACCGCTGGCTCCTTGCGCTTTTGCTGCAAACGTCGGCACCGGGTGGGTGGGGGTGGGGGGAGGCAGAGTTGACCGTGTTTCGCCGGCGACGGCAGTGGTGCCGCGTTGACGGTGATGGTGGCGGTGTGACGACGCTGTGCCGCGTTGGTGACGCCGTGACAACGTTGTGCCGCGTTGACGCCGTGACGACGACGGTGCGCCGCGTCCTCTCCGCAGACTCCCCGACGTGTGGGTGAGCGAGAACGACTCGCTGGAGTTCCGCACCAAGCTCGTCCACCTCTCCAAGCTGCCCAAGGACTCGACGAGCTTCCTGGACCCCAACATCTACCGGTGAGCGTCGCTACCCCCCCCCACCCCCGCCCCACTCGGCGTTGCCCCTCGCCGCGACCCTCGCCGAACACCGGGCGCGGTTTGAGACTCCTCTGTGGGGCTCCTCCAGGTGGAGGAGTCCTGAGAGGGTGAACCTGGGTCGAGTGGGTTGGGCGAGTTGGCGAGCGAGTGGGTGAAGCGAGTGATCGTGTGGGCGGGCGGGCGGGTGAGTGAGTGAGTGAGTGGGTCGGCGTGGAGGTGAGTGCGCGAGTGATTTAATCGGCTGTTTCTCGCCGCTGTTGGTGCTGCCCTCTGCTGCTTCCCTCTGCTCAGAGCGATGCCACAGAAGCGCTACAAGAGGAAGTAGCGGTAGCCTCGCAGGCTGGACCCAGCGCTCACCGCTCGCTCACCGCTCGCTCACTCGGAACAACTCGCCACTCGCTCAGATCGCTCACCACTCGCTGACTCGGACCGCTCACCCACTGGCTGACTCGGACCGCTCGCCACTCGCTCACCACTCGCACACTCGGACCGCTCACCACTCGCTCACCACTCGCACACTCGGACCGCTCACCACTCGCTGACTCGGACCGCTCACCACTCGCTCACCACTCGTACACTCGGACCGCTCACCACTCGCTGACTCGGACCGCTCACCACTCGCTCACCACTCGCACACTCAGACCGCTCACCACTTGCTAACTCAGACCGCTCACCACTTGCTCAGTCGGACGGCTCACCACTCGCTTGGATCGCTCACCAATCACTCACTCAGACCGCTCACCACTCGCCCACTCGGACTGCTCACCACTCGCTCACTCCGACCGCTCACCACTCGCCCACTCGGACCGCTCACCACTCGCTCACTCCCACCGCTCACCACTCGCTCACTCCGACCGCTCACCACTCGCCCACTCGGACCCCTCTCCAATCGCTCACTCAGACTGCTCACCACTCGAACCGCCCACCAATTGAACTGCTCACCACTCGCTCACTCGGACCTCGCTTGCCCCTCGCGATGACGGCAAGGACGGCTGAGTCCACCCTAGTGCACCCGAGTCGACCCGAGTCCGCCCGAGACCACCGGAGTCGACCCGAGTCCACCCTAGTGCACCCGAGTCGACCCGAGTCCGCCCTAGTGCACCCGAGTCGACCCGAGTCCGCCCTAGTGCACCCTAGTCGACCCGAGTCCGCCCGAGACCACCGGAGTCGACCCGAGTCCACCCTCGTGCACCCGAGACCACCGGAGTCCGCCCGAGACGACAACAAGGATGTTGTGCCGCCGAGCGCGTCCGTGGAGAGGGTCGTGCGCACGCTGGCCGCTCCGGAGGAGGCCTCGGCGATGGTCCACCACCGGCCCGCCCGGCGTGCCCAGGCGTGCCCAGGCGTGTGGCGGCAGTGGAGACGGTCCGCGCCGCGCACCCGCGGATTCACCTCTACCGGTGCCGGCCGCCGTCACGGTCGCCGTCACGGCCGTCATCATGGCCGTCGTCATGGTGGAGTCTCACGCTTTCGCGCACGCACGCATTCACGCACGCACGTCCTTCGTACGAACGCACGTGTACGTATGCACGTTGCACTTCTTTCGCACCGCCGTACATAGCCAACCGTGGTCATCGGAGGATGGGTGAGTGTGATGGTGAGTGACTATGTGTGTGTGTGTTTGTGTGCGCGTGACTAGGTGAGCCTGTGTATGTACGTTTAACTTCGTTGGTACCGTACGTAGCCAACTAAACGCACATCCCTCACACACACACACGTGTTTGACACACACGTGGTCTATTAATACAGCCCCACCTCCTCCCCCCTCCCACTAACTTGGGCAGGGAGAGTCTCGCGTGTGGTAGCTGACGGGCGTTATCAGGCCGAGAGAGTTGTGCGTGTGTTGAACTTACTTTGCACCCGTGCGCGTAGCCAGCTGTACTAATCGGATGTCCGGGGGCGGGCGGGAGACAAACTAAACACAAGACAACAAAAAAATATCTTCAAATTTTTCAATCTAGATTTTAACAAAAAAGTGAGAGTCGCTGCATCTGCCGCCCCCCCCCCCCCCCACCACCACGTGGCTCCGGGCCTGCCTGCTCTTTGTGTTGCTCAGAGTCGCAGTCTCGAGCGGTCACTTCCTGACAACGACAACAAAACAACAACAACAACGAATGTCGTGTCCACGGCAAAAGCATTGGCGAGTCTCAACAACCCTTTGTCAGGAGAAGGTCGAAACCCCCCCCCCCCCACGTCGAAGTAGCAGCAGGCTTTCACGACTAACATCATCCATAATGAGGTGTTTTGTTGGGTTGGATCGCGTCAATGTGAATGTCGTGTCGCGAAATCCGCCGCCAACGTAAACAGAACGTGGCCAATTGGTTACCAGTGCAGCGACCCACCCTTGTGTTGGAGAGCAAAGCCACAACGGTTACAATCTGAAGTCCGACGTTTCGCGGGTAATTACACCCGGCATCATCAGGCGACAGCAAGATTTGTAACTGCGTGTCGGGGAGAGGTGAACCCCGCGGCAACGTTTGCAATTCGAGTAACGCGACTCCTCGCCAGCAATGATGCTGGCTGTCGTAATCAAGGGGGTGAAACGTCGCGCTGCTCCAATTGTCAATTTCGCCGTGGGGCTTTACTCTCCAGCAGACGACGATGTGGTGTTGTGGTGCTGCACCAGTGACGAACTGGGACCTTCGATTGGTTGCGCATCGGACGCTGCGGCGGGTTCAACGGCGCGACGCTTATACTCGACGCAAAAAAACCTCCGATTGGATACGTTGCAGACTTTTGGCCATGTCGAGTTCACGTTGTGGGAGTGGTTTTTTTTTTTGCGCGGCTCCGTGAGACTACGCCCCGCCTCCCCCCCCCGCTCCCTCCCCCTCCCTCCCCGAGAGACGCGCCGCATCGGCTCGCTCGCTCTTGCCGCCGTCTTGCCGTCGCGCGTCCTCGTGTCTAACTCGCAGCCTGCTCGGGCTCCGGGTTCGGGAGATTCTGCAAAGTCTTTGTACGTGCTCGTTCAGCGACCGCCCCCACCACCACCACCACCACCAAACCTGGCCTCCAGAGCTGCCGGGTCACAACAGGCGCACGTCGCTGCTGCTGCTGCTGCTCCCTCCTCCTCGTCATCGGGTTTACGACGGGGTGAACTTGTCGACTCAAATGTGAAGGCTTCCGTTGGCGTGTTCGATGTCACGTCAATTGCCGCTTTAATTGACGGGGTAATTGGCACGTCAATTGCCACGTTACTTGACAAGTTCATTGCCACGTTAATTGTCATGTTATTTGGCACGTCAATTGACAGGTTAATTGCCACGTCAATTGACAGGTTAATTGCCACGTCAATTGCCATGTTAATTGATACTAATTGCCACGTTCATTGCCAACGGTCATTGAAAAGTTCATTGACAAGTTGAACTATTCCTCATCCTGCCCCTTCCCACACGAATCCCAGGATGGTGCCGCTCCAACGATGCGAGTCTCGGAGGGTCTCGAGACTCGCATCCAGGAGGGTCTAGAGACTCTCGTCCAGGAGGGTCTAGAGACTCTCTTCCAGGAGGGTCTAGAGACTCTCGTCCAAGAGGGTCTAGAGACTCTCGTCTAGGAGGGTCTAGAGACTCTCGTCCAGGAGGGTCTAGAGACTCTCGTCCAGGAGGGTCTAGAGACTCTTCCAGGAGGGTCTAGAGACTCTCGTCCAGGAGGGTCTAGAGACTCTCGTCCAGGAGGGTCTAGAGACTCTCGTCCGGGAGGGTCTAGGGACTCTCGTCCGGGAGGGTCTAGAGACTCTCGTCCAGGAGGGTCTAGAGACTCTCGTCCAGGAGGGTCTAGAGACTCTCGTCCAGGAGGGTCTAGAGACTCTCGTCCAGGAGGGTCTAGAGACTCTCGTCCGGGAGGGTCTAGAGACTCTCGTCCAGGAGGGTCTAGAGACTCTCGTCCAGGAGGGTCTAGAGACTCTCGTCCGGGAGGGTCTAGAGACTCTCGTCCAGGAGGGTCTAGAGACTCTCGTCCAGGAGGGTCTAGAGACTCTCGTCCACGAGGGTCTAGAGACTCTCGTCCAGGAGGGTCTAGAGACTCGTCTAGGAGGGTCTAGAGACTCTCGTCCAGGAGGGTCTAGAGACTCTTCCAGGAGGGTCTAGAGACTCTCGTCCAGGAGGGTCTAGAGACTCTCGTCCAGGAGCGTCTAGAGACTCTCGTCCGGGAGGGTCTAGAGACTCTCGTCCAGGAGGGTCTAGAGACTCTCGTCCGGGAGGGTCTAGGGACTCTCGTCCGGGAGGGTCTAGAGACTCTCGTCCAGGAGGGTCTAGAGACTCTCGTCCAGGAGGGTCTAGAGACTCTCGTCCAGGAGGGTCTAGAGACTCTCGTCCGGGAGGGTCTAGGGACTCTCGTCCGGGAGGGTCTAGGGACTCTCGTCCGGGAGGGTCTAGAGACTCTCGTCCAGGAGGGTCTAGAGACTCTCGTCCAGGAGGGTCTAGAGACTCTCGTCCACGAGGGTCTAGAGACTCTCGTCCAGGAGGGTCTAGAGACTCGTCTAGGAGGGTCTAGAGACTCTCGTCCAGGAGGGTCTAGAGACTCTCGTCCAGGAGGGTCTAGAGACTCTCGTCCAGGAGGGTCTGGAGACTCTCGTCTAGGAGGGTCTAGAGACTCTCGTCCAGGAGGGTCTAGAGACTCTCGTCCGGGAGGGTCTAGAGACTCTCGTCCAGGAGGGTCTAGAGACTCTCGTCCAGGAGGGTCTAGAGACTCTCGTCCACGAGGGTCTAGAGACTCTCGTCTAGGAGGGTTTAGAGACTCTCGTCCAGGAGGGTCTAGCGACTCTCGTCCGGGAGGGTCTAGAGACTCTCGTCCAGGAGGGTCTAGAGACTCTCGTCCGGGAGGGTCTAGAGACTCTCGTCTGGGAGGGTCTAGAGACTCTCTTCCAGGAGGCTCTAGAGACTCTCTTCCAGGAGGGTCTAGAGACTCTCTTCCAGGAGGGTCTAGAGACTCTCTTCCAGGAGGGTCTAGGGACTCGCGTCCAGGAGGGTCTAGAGACTCTCGTCCAGGAGGGTCTAGAGACTGTCGTCCAGGAGGGTCTAGAGACTCTCGACCAGGAGGGTCTAGAGACTCTCGACCAGGAGGGTCTAGGGACTCTCTTCCAGGAGGGTCTAGGGACTCTCGTCCAGGAGGGTCTAGGGACTCTCGTCCAGGAGGGTCTAGAGACTCGTCCAGGAGGGTCTAGAGACTCTCGTCCAGGAGGGTCTAGAGACTCTCGTCCAGGAGGGTCTAGAGACTCTCGTCCAGGAGGGTCTAGAGACTCTCGTCCAGGAGGGTCTAGGGACTCTCGTCCAGGAGGGTCCAGAGACTCTCGTCCAGGAGGGTCCAGGGACTCTCGTCCAGGAGGGTCTAGGGACTCTCGTCCAGGACGGTCTAGAGACTCTCGTCCAGAAGGGTCCAGGGACTCTCGTCCAGGAGGGTCCAGAGACTCTCGTCCAGGAGGGTCCAGGGACTCTCGTCCAGGAGGGTCTAGGGACTCTCGTCCAGGAGGGTCTAGGGACTCTCGTCCAGGAGTAGTAGAATGAGTGGCGTCACTCGCTTTGACTGTTAACGTCATTGTCACGCTATATTATAGTGTATTTAAATTAATGACATAAAATACACGTTTGGCTGGCTGGAGGGGGTTGCGACCTGACGGGGCCCAAGACGGTCAGTCGCACCGCCATGTCGGGGGGGGATCTCTGTGGCCGGGGGGGGGTTGTGGGAGGGGCTCTGGGGAGGGGGGCTGGGGGGAGGGGGGGCTCTGGGGGGTTTGGGATACTCACGCGTGGAGGAGGAGGAGGTTGGTGGTGGTTTCCGTTGTCGAGTATGGACGGGAGGATGCTACTTCTGCGACCTGCTCCCACCGAGTTCTGAACGGAGATGTTTACGATTTTAGTACGTTAACTTGTACATACGTAGGCCATGCTGTTGTTATTGTTATTATTAAGGTTGTAGAATAAAAAGAACTAACCACGAGCATAGCGGCTGTCCTTTCCTCGCAATGGCGTGGTGGTGTGCATGTACACGTTGAACTTCTTTTGCACCGTACGCAGCCAACCGTTCTAATCGGAGGTGGTGGTGGGTTGGTGGTTCCCTCCGAGGAGGCATCGGCATATGTATAATGCACGAGGAATCCGATGAGCTAGGAAGCACTTTGTTACAGATGTCCAGGAGGGGAGGGTAAGAACGTTAGAACAGCAAACACGGCCACAAAAAACATGACGGTAGAGCAACGTACAAGAAAGGTCATCAAATCGCACGAACAAAACCAATCCATCCCCCATCCTACCAGGCAAAGCCCACGGAGAAATGAACTTATTTTTCAGAAGCCACCGTTCCACAAATAATAATAGCGCAACAAAGTGGCGCCATCATTTGGACATTTATGGCACCAAAATAATGAGTGGGATGGGTGAGGCGAGGAGGGAGATACCCCGGCAGTGGCTACAATCTGTGCAAGGGACCCTTACAAGGCCCCTCCAGGGCCCCTCCCGGGCTAGTAGAGGTCGTCTTGCGTCTTGCGGACACAAGACGCAAGTTTGCCGCTCACGCGCGGACTTAAATCCTCTCCTCCCACCCCAATTCCCCCCCTCCTCTCCCCCCGCGAGAAGTTTAGTGGGTGATGGTCTCTGACCCGTCATTAATTGGGCCCGATCCTCGATTCTTCATGAAGGGGGGGAGGTCAGGGGAGGGGTCAGGGGGTGGCTACCACGGGGTGGTGCCTTTAATATTTTATCGAGGGGGTTCGCATCAATCATTTATGTGGGGGGAGGGGGGAGTGGTCTGATCGTCAATAATTCACGGGCGAGGAGAGCCCTTCCCACCCGCTGGATGCCGCCACCCACGAGCTCGCTAATTGGTGTCTTATTTGGGGGGGGGGGAGGAGGGGGTGGAAGTGGGAGGAGGAGGAGGGGAGTAGTGTGGGGGGGGGGGGGTGAACACCCACGGCAGAGGCAATTCGCTGCTCGCCAACGCGGAGGGGTTGGTGGATCACCAGGGTGGTGGTGCACCAGGGTGGTGGGGCACCAGGGAGATGGAGATGAGGAGGGAGATGGAGATGAGGGAGGTGGAGATGAGGAGGGAGGGATGAGGGAGATGGCGATGAGGGAGGGAGATGAGGAGGGAGATGAGGGAGGTGGAGATGAGGAGGGAGGTGGAGATGAGGGAGGAGGGAGATGGAGATGAGGGAGGGAGATGAGGAGGGAGGGATGAGAAGAGAGATGAGGAGGGAGGGATGAGAAGAGAGATGGTGAGGGACGGATGAGGGATTGATGTCGACCGCCCACGCTGCCGGAAGGAGGCCTCGCCGCTCTCTGTGGGAATCTGTGCGCCGTGGAGCGGAGTCTAAATTTACTCTGAGCAAAGGAAAACAGCGCGTTACATGGGGGGCATGGCGGGGGGGGGGGAGATAACCACTCCACCACAGCCTCCCTCTGCACAACACAAAGACAAAGAGCCTCCGTGTAGACTCAACAGACTGTCGGGGCAAGTGCTGTTAGCGAGGATCACCTGTGTAGGCCGGCACGGCACACGAGGGGGTGGGTGGCCAGCACCACGCCCGACCGCCTTTGTCTCTCCAGTGGCGATGTTTACTACACACCGCACCAGGTGCTCATTTGAGGCTGAGTCCACCTAGGGGAAGCCCAGGACCGGTTCAGATATTCGCCACTGGTGGTGTTGGCCATAAGCGGGAATCGAACCCGGGTGGCCAGGTTCGTAGCGCAGCGTGACGCTAACCGCTACACCACCGCTCCCAACCACGCGGTGACAGACACACAACAACAACAACCGCCATTCGCCACTAAGTGGCGGTGACGTCGCAAACGACGCTTGTGCCAGGCTATGTGCACCTTGAGGCCACGTGAAGTGTCGAACGCCCGCTGGCAGGAGGTCACGGGGCAGACCCAGCAGGTTCCACGGGTCGACTGACTGAGATGACTGGCTGATGCACCACCTGTGCCCCCCTACTGTGCCCCCCTACTGTGCCCCCCTACTGTGCCCCCCTACTGTGCCAACTTGCTGTGCTTTAGGCACCCGGCGCTCCGCTCGTTGTTGTGAGCGTCGCTCCTCTGCCCTCCATTATTGTTGGAGGGCGACTGCCTCCAACTGCCAATCAGCAGCAGCGTCCTTCACGAGCCTCCTCCACAGAGGCCGATCTCACACACACAAAAAGATCCCCCGTGTAGCCTTAACAGACTGTAGGGGCAAGTGCTGTTAGCGAGCACCTATGAAGGCCGGAACGGTACACGATGGGGTGAGTGGCCAGCACCACGCCCGACCGCCTTAGTCTCCCCAGTGGCAATGTTTTTATCCACCGCAGCAGGTACTCATTTGAGGCTGAGTCGATCGTCACCGGTGTTGGCCGTGAGCGGGAATCGAACCCGGGTCGCCAGGTTCATAGCGCAGCGCGCTAACCGCTACACCACCGCTCCCCACTACACACACACATGACACACTCGCACACACACACGACACACGCACGCACAGTGACACACACGGAGTTAGCGACGGTGTCTGACGGCAGAGGGAACCTCTCGCACCCCGCGTTGAGGTCACGTTTGGTGACCCCCCGGGGACACTCTGCGGTCT